CAAGTGCAGTGAGTGGGTGGTTCTTTGAGTTTAGTCTCCAGTAGACACTTTCCTCTGTTTAAAATGTCAAGAAACATCTCATGTCAGCTTGACACTCTGTTGCCAAACCGAGTGTTCTTATGGAATCTTGGGATATTTTGTCTTCTTGTAAAGCTAAGCTCCTGGAGAGGTGTGATTATGTGAGAATCTTTCACATTTTTAAAAAATGAACATTTCTAGTCCTCTAGGTGGTGGTAGAAATCTTGTAAATGTAGATCCTTGGAAGCTCAAAACCCAGAGGCAAATAAAACTGATTTTGAAGCGAGAGATTTTAAACAATCTCATACCATTTTTACAGGCATGATCCATGAGTTTTGAATGGTTGGGGTTTGCAATAATGTAGTCCGCTCAGGAGAGCCTAGTGAAAGGAGTCCAGAAGCTGTTACTGATTAAGATTTCAGTACATTGGCAGAACCATAAAAAGGAACATGCACAGCTCCTGGGCTTGCTTCAAAATCACTATAATTAAACTAGCCCATTTAAAAGATGATTTGGGGAACTTGTAATGCTAACAAATTACAGAAAACCTACCTGGCATTACCATCTCCATTTAGGAGAACTCTAAGATGACTTATTCAACCATTCTGACTTAAATTATTACATTCTCCCTGCTCCCTTCAGGTGGTGATTTACTTGTGGTTTTGATTATGTACATCTTAGAAATTAGGAGGCCCTGTTAAATGGGCTAGCTCCATTGACTATGCCAAGTTCTTGGGTTCTGAGAACCCTGGAGTCTCGAAACACAAGTTCCAATTTAATGAACTTCTGACAACTAATAGTTAAAGTACAGCTTTGAATTTATGCCTCTGGAGAACAGGCTATACTTCAGTTACGTCAGAACTAAATTATTTTACCTCCAGAAATCTGGGGGCTTCAGAGACCCTAGCCCTTTACCGTTTTTATCCAAAGCCTGTTTAAACTCATGCAGGCTCCATAGTCATCACAGTCTGAATCTTTTGCACGTTGGGTGGCAGCAAGCAGGGTGCTGCTCCTTATGGATACCTACCAGTTAAAATGTTGCCATTCAAACCATTCTAAACAGAGAATACTTGCTTTGTTTTTAAAACACTTCAAATGATCGAGCCCTGTAGCCAAGTAACCATGTAAAACCACTGTGGTGTGGGGCCCTAAGTAAATAGTTCAATATAGAGGGATGGGAATCTAGTTTTGTAGCCTGCATTCTCCACCCCAAAATGAACTGCAACCTTTCAATGAAAAAAGAAAAGTTACTACCAGCAGGAGAAACTCACCTTACCTGATCACCCTGGTGACCGTCTGTACGGTAACACCCATTGTTTCATGCTCTCTGTGCGTATAAATCTCCCCACTGTATTTTCCACTGCATGCATCCGATGAAGTGAGCTGTAGCTCACGAAAGCTTATGCTCAAATAAATTGGTTAGTCTCTAAGGTGCCACAAGTCCTCCTGTTCTTTTTGCGGATACAGACTAACACGGCTGCTCCTCTGGAACCCACCTTTTCAGAAATGCTAGTTAATGATCTCTGCAGGACTTGGGATATAATGGTAATAGATGTGTTGTTAATGTAGGGTCTCTTTACTTGAAGAGTTCCAAAAAGTCTTATGTACTATGTGTGGATTGTAGACAGCTCTGGTAGTACTGCGTCTTAAAGTTGCTCAACACTTCTCATAAATCCCTGTGTTCAGTTGTTTATATCTCTGCCAAATTTCAACAATTTGGGCTGAAATTTTCCAGGCTGAGTGACTGCCTCAGTTGGGATTTTTCTGAAAGTTTCAGACAAAACAGTTGAGCTGTTTGTGAGAATGAGGCTAGTGACAAAATGTTGTGCCCATATTAAAAAGTTCAGATGACATTTTCTTTGAAAAGCCTCTAGTGCCCCCAAAGCTTTAGAGCAGGGATTTGAACTTGTTGGGTGTGTGTGTGTGTGTGACTTTTGAGCCATGAATGTGTCTTGTGCTAGCTCCTTGAAAATCTGCCCAATTTTTTTTTAAACCTTTAGAAAATCTTTTTTTTTTTTTTACACATGCTCAGATTTTACACCTGCACTTCTTAGATTTTTAGCAGCCGCATTCCCTGAAGATTCCGTCTGCATTGGGCATACCTTGAGCTAAACAGGACTTTCCCTGCAATTGAGCTGTTGCAGGCTCTGCTGGATCTGGGAACCTGAACTGACAGCAGAGAGGCTTTCTCCTGTGCTCTCAGCCTGAATGCAAAGGAGACAAGTTAGATTGAAGGTGGGTGGGAGTAGATTGGAATGGAAACTGTGGCTGGAGGATGGTAGGTTAGGAGAGGGAATATTGGATGGGGAGTGGAGATGCGGGGAGACGGACTGAGAACCAGTGAGGTGGGAGGGAAGACAGCTCTGACTAGAAGTTGGGGTAGAAAGGGAGAACTGGGACTGGCTGGGTAAAGAGTGGGATAAGGAGCTGAGGATGACGGGAGATTAGGACTGGAAGCCAGTGTGGACATGTTTATGTTTCAACTGAAGGCCAGAGTTGTGGGGAGAGATGGATAGTATGAGGAGTTGGGAGTGATGGTGGTGAAATTAGAAATAGCTGGGCAAGGGGACTGTGATAAGAAGCCACAGTACGGAAGAGATGGGACTGGGACAGGCACAGGTTGGAGGGCTCAAGGCAGAAGGTGGTCATGGAGGTGTGGAATGGGCAGAAGAATTTGTGTCTACTAGAGCACACTCCCCTCCAGATCCTGGAATGGAACTCAAGATTCCTGCGAGCAAATCTGTGAAACCAGCTGGCAAAGTTTATCAACTTTTAGTGCTGGTCCACATAGAGAATGGCAACATACTACTGCTACCAGTAACTCCATTAGTTCAAGTGGCAGAGGTCTGTGTGCTGGATCTGAAGGTTCAAGTCTTCCTGATGATATGTGTCTGTTGATGTGATGGCACCTGTTGAAGTCTAAACTTAATTCCAGCAGAAAAGGGCCACCCAATCCGTTGTTTTTGGTGGATAAAACAAACTGCTTTGCCTATATCTGAATATCTTTTTGCTAGTTGTTTAGCTTTTACTAACCAAAACAAGTGGACACACAATGTGTCTCTACTTTCCAGCAAACCAGCTGTGCTTTTTTCCAAACTCTTCCCCTGATGAGAATGGTGCTGAAATAACAAGATATGAACAGATTCTTTTCACTATAACAATTATCCAACTAAACATGTTGAATGTTTAAATACACTTGAAAGCATGTGATGCTGCACACAGATAGGAGCCTTCTATTTAGCTTGCCAACTACTTATCCAATTGGGTTTATTTTTGTAATTTTGTGAGACACGTCCAGGTTTCATAATATCAAAACAGATACCTTCACTTATTTAGTGCTAATTCAACAGAGGCTAACCCAGTTGATTTAAATTGGTTTAACCATAGTTGAATTAGTTGTAAGATGTAATTTTGAAGAAATGTTTTCAACTTCTCAATCTTCTGCTTTTTCTTACAAATTCAACATACAATTCCGTCTTTTAACTTGTAGGGATATGTTCCTGTTAAGATGGTCTTTGATATTCTTTCACTTTCTTTGGTAATTTAGTTTTTTGAAATTAGTGACTACAATATCTTTTAGGTTATATTTGTTTTCTTTTTGGGACATGAACCTGTAAACACCTGTGCCTTGTGTATTGGACCTGGGAAACGCAGGGAATGCAATTCAGAGTGCTAAAGAAAAGATGTGAATTTAAGAAATGCTGGTCATCTACAGCTCCAATGGTAGTTGCAGATGCTGAGAATTTCTGAAAACCTGAACCATTGCTCAGTTGTGCAGAATATCACATCATTTTATGCTGCACTGCACTTAAGAAGTTTTAATACTGAAACTATTTTAAAACTTTCTTTAGGTCCTCTGTGCTATGCTAAATTTTCTTTCACATTGTACTGTATATAAAAACTATGAATTATTTGTTTGTACATTATCCAAATGTGCTAGATGCTAGTTTAGACTCTTAAGAAGAGTCTTTATCCCCCAAAGCCTGTAATTTTATATGAACAAAAACAACATGATGGGGAAGGGTTTAGTGCAGTGATGGGCAACCTGTGGCCCATCAGGGTAATCCACTAGCGGGCCGCGAGACAATTTGTTTACATTGACCGTCTGCAGGCATGGCTGCCCGCAGCTCCTAGTGGTCGCGGTTCACTGTTCCCAGCCAATGAGAGCTGTGGGAAGTGGCGGCCAGCATGTTCCTGCGGCCTGAGCCACTTCCCGCAGCTCCCATTGGCCAGGAACAGCGAACTGCGGCCACTGGGAGCTGCAGGTGGCCGTGCCTGTGGACAGTCAATGTAAACAAACTGTCCCACGGCCTGCTAGTGGATTACCCTGATGGGCCACAGGTTGCTCACCACTGGTTTAGTGCAACTGAGAAAGTGCATATTTACTTACAGAATTTAGAGTTTGCAATAAAATAGAAGGAAAATACTCTTTAGTTGACGTGGTATTATCTTAACTAGCCTGCAACAATTCTTACTAAATATTTTTTGAATCAGGCCGATTAGATCTATCTGATTTGTTTACTTATTGCTTAAACAGAAAATTGTGTTACAAATCAGCAATAATCTCTAACTGTGAGTGATCTCAGGAACTGTCTTTTCTGATTAATCATAATACTCTACTAAAAAACGTAAAAAGGAAACTGTCAAGATTATTAGGCCCAAGACATCATCTTGGCAGTAGTCCTACCTGTAAACTTCCCCTTGAGGCAGTTTTGTGTTTCTCCTTGTCTTTTAAAAAAAAGATTACTTTCAACTCTGAAAGCAATATCAATGATGGGTTTCAGTTTCTCTGTGTCATAGTAAATCAAACAACTAACACAGTTATGCCATTTTAAAATTATATGCTGAACAAAAACTGGGATTTTAAAAATTGAATAGAACAGCTGTTGTATAGAGCAATCTTCCTTGGGGAGTTGAGATGCTCCTCAGATTTTACCTCCATTCCAAACTTACCAAAAACTACTTCTTTATTCTCTCTGCAGGTCATGGCAACCATAAAGAAAACAGTCCTTTTCTCAACAGTTCTGAAGCTGGCAAGGGAAGCGATTATTATGATCGAAACTTGGCCTTGTTTGAGGTAAACTTTAATTTTGCTTTCCAGACCACTGGGCATGAGCATCCTTGACCTTGAGTTATGGAGAATAGGAGATGAGGTCTTTCTCTCTCTTCTGTGGAGGGAGGGGATGGAGACTTCCAAAGCTACAACTGGCAGGTAGATGCCTAATTCCCATCTAAAGTCAAGCAGTCAGACACCTACATGCCATTCGTACCTTTTAAAAATCTTTTTAAAGTGTTGAGTGGCCTTTGGTAGGTCAGGCCCGTTAACATACACTTATAATGCCACTGTCCCAGGCAGTGTCTGTGGGCGGTTGTTCGGCCGGTGATGTGTGGAGTAGAGAGCAGCTGGCATCCCAGGTACCATGCACTCACGTGTAACTGTCTCTATCTCAGCCTCTCAGCTGTCAGGACCTAGTGCCAGAAGGCTGAAGATTGGGAACATGGGTTCCAGAGATTGGGAACAAGGAATGACAGGAGCTACTGATTAGGGAAGGGTGGGAAAAAATAGCATGTTTGGGCTCTGATGCCCAGGAGGCTCTAAAGAGCCCAGAAGATCAGGTTCAATACAGCAGCACCACACTGACCCAGTCTACCAGCATCTGCCATTATTCGCTTTTGCCAGCTAGCTGGATGGTGGCTTCTCCGATGCCTAACTCCTTTTCTTGGCAGTGTATGATAGCGTGCCTCTTCACCCTTTAGCAAGTTTGACATGCTGAGAGTATGTTCTGAGGTTCACGCAGAATGGAGGAGGAGTAACTTCATACCAGTATCACTTTTTTGTCTGCAGATTAGTTGCTCTGGCTTGTTTTTTTTTGTTTTTGTTTTTGATTTGCATGGCCGGGTTAGCAGGGCATTGATTTACATGGGGAAAGCCATATTTTTGTAATGGAAAGCTCTATAAATGAAGGCCAAAATTAAGTGCCAAAAGTTGGTTATTTAGGAGTCCTAATTTTCAGTGGTCCTGAGCACCTCCAGTTCCTATCAACTCCAATTATAAGTGTGGCTGTTCAGTGCCTCTGAATCAGGCTACACAGGTGGCTAACTTTAGGTAGTCATCTTTGAGTGTGTGTGTGTATTTTGTTTAAAGAGGTAATTCCAGGGCCCTAATATAATTGTAAGAACCCATTAATCTTCCCATTTGCTTCCAGTTTTCTCCTGTCACTGCATGTTGTTTGTGCCACTCCCATAGAATCCAAAGAAGCAAGAACCCTCGACTTTTTCTTGAAGGGAGAATTCTCAGCCCTCCATCCAGATGCTTCAGTTCATGAGAAAGCATGTTCCAAGCTTTCTTAAGCACTCGCTTTCCCAACAGGCCATTTAGATTAGCTGCTGCTGAGCAGCTGCTCCATCAGGTCACAAAAGCTCCATTTTAGCACACCCTGTTTCCACAGTGACAACCCATCATGTAGAGGCTTGTGCTAAGGAAGTCTAGTGCCAGTAAGATAGAACCAGTCACAATGCCCGCCTCCAATTCCTGCCACTCTCGCTCTGAGCAGAACCTTCACTGAGACTTCATGCTAGTTCATGGACAGATAACAGATGTTTGCTTCTCTCAAAGGCATGTCTTCCAGGAAAGATATCATAATCTGTCTGAGGCTGGAGTTTTGCTTTTGAGCAGAATCAGGTGTGTTGTGGATGGCTGTGTTAGAACGAAGGGACTTTGTATATTTGCAGGGCCTGTGGGTCTATGTGGCTGGTAAATTATGATTGCTGAGATTGGTGTTGGTGAGAATGTTGGCTTCACTGGTGACTTCCCTAATTTTTAGTTATTGCAGTAGTAGGGTAGGCGCTTGAGAAAATTTAAACCTGACAGGCATGCTCTGTGTGTGGGGCAGGCACAAGGGGAGGCGCAGAACAGAAAGTTCAGAACAACAGAACTATTTTAAGGATCTTTAGGAGATAATGCAGGAAAGAATACGGAGCGAAGGCAGAGAAGAGAAGCTGTAAGAGTAATCAGAGCACTCTCTAAACACTTTGCAAAAGATCCCAGCTGGTATAAAAATGAGACAAGTGGCTCACTCCTGCCATACTGCTCCAGAAGACAGGATGAAGCTGCAATACGGGAATGTGCCTGCTTGCCGCTCCTCGAGCGCATTGGTGCAAAGTACCAACACACGGGCTTTCCCCACCCTCAAAGACAATCACAGGGTAAGAGGGATCCTGCTGGATGTGGGGAATTTAGGGAGAGGGGATCGCGAGACCTTCATACAGTCAAACAAAACATACAGATTTTGGGAGGCTTATCTAACCTCAAACCTCTCGGAGGCCCTGGATTAGGATATTGATATTAAATATACCAGAATGTGCCCATAACACTGCAATAGCTGGGACTCTGGGTACCAGATCTCTGGTTTATTTGAAGAATTGTCCCTGAAAATGTTTTTTTAATGTTAACCCAAGATATGCATATTAGCCAACTGTAAATCATTCACTTTCCTGCAATCATGGAGTTCAGAGCTCTTTTTTTCTAAGACAGCTTTCAAAACCCAAACGTCCTCTAGCCAGATCAGACAAAATTAATATTTCATTTATTCTACTGCAGCCTCTTTCAGTGAGTTTATCACCAGCTCCAGCCCTGCCAAGAAGGTATATGATCCACCCCTTCTTTCTGACTGCTTTGGCTTACATAAGTTGTTTTCCTCCACAGGAGGAACTGGATATACGACCAAAGGTATCTTCTCTACTTGGTAAGTTGGTCAACTACACAAATCTCACTCAGGGAGCCAAAGAACATGAGGAGGCAGAAAGTGCTGAAGGTTCAAAGAGGAAAGTATCAAAAGTAAGTAGAACTTCTCTCAATGGCCAGCTTGTAACTGAGATTGCTTGTGTGTGCAGTTGGAGAGTTCTGAAATTCCTTGTGCTTCGTCACCATTTCTGAATACGGATCTAATCCTCTTCCCCCCACCCCTGCCATGGAAGCCATGACATGACATTGCTTCATTGGCAGCAGGACTGGGCCCCAAATGAACACAGTGAGTTGCTTGTAATTTCTTGTTTCTAGACTGAAGCTGTTTTCCTCAGAAAATCAGAGGTGAAGTAATGCTTAAGCAATCTAGCCACTCCAGTGCACTTGGATAGTCTTAGTATGTATTATTCTCAGGAAGTTTGATTAAGTAGGTCACAATGTCACAAAAATCATGCATTTAAGTCTTACAACCTGTTTCTGCCACCCTTATTCACCTTAAATAGAAACACAGTCTGTGAGTTGTCACACTGATTTCAAAACCATTTTTAGAGGCAGAAGTGTGTGTGTTTAGGCTTCCTGTTTGAGCCCCATTTCTAATAACACTCTAGCAGGTGAGATTTAGTGGCCTGTTCTGAGGGTGCTGTGCACCAGCAGCTCCCTTTATTTTTTGTAGGGGCTGCAGTTGTCCAGTGTCTCTGAAAATGAAGCCATATGCCTCAACAGGGTACTAAAAATCAACACATTAAGGCTAAACTTCCTATTTAAAGGTGTTGCTGCTTTGCTTGCTGGTTTTCAAGCAAAGGTTCAGCAAAAGGTTTTCAAGTAAACTGCTGTGAAACTTGAACAGTGCAGATTTATTGTCATCCTGTGTTGCCATATATACAGAAGTCTTGACCCACTGAAACAAGACAGAGGCAAAAAGAAAAGGAGTACTTGTGGCACCTTAGAGACTAAGCTTATGCTCAGATAAATTGGTTAGTCTCTAAGGTGCCACAAGTACTCCTTTTCTTTTTGCGAATACAGACTAACTCGGCTGTTACTCTGAAAGACAGAGGCAGTAACACTGAAGATTGCCAATTCACTTTCAAAGGGAATGCACATTAATCCATGCCAAAAGTCTGATTCCAGCACCCTCACTCCACATGTAGTCCCTTCTGATTTCAACAGAGTCACCAAACCCAACAGGTGTTAAAAACATTAGTTTACTCTAATCTGGGACCACAAGTATTAAAATGTCTCAATGTTGTGGTTATTATGGTATCGCTAAAGGACAGAGTTAGGTTATTTCGGTGTCTGTGCATTTTAATACCTTAACATATATGGATTCCCTTTTAGGCATAACCTTAACTAATATATATATAAGTTAAGGTTATGCCTAAAAGGGAATATATATCAGTTTGTTTGTCTGGGCATAATACTAAAATCAAGCATGAGCTGTTGTCTTTTCCTGTGAATTTATGGGATTGCCTAATTTCAACTGATTATTCAGTCTGTTCTTCCTAAAAAATTGGGAGAAATTACTCTAATAAAGAATGTAGGGAAATAGGGTAGGGTAAATCCTTAACTTTTTGAAATGACACCTTTTTTGGCCATTGTTAGTGTTATTTAAAGATGGTTTATGATTAAATGACACCTCACACTGGTATTCTACACTGGCCATCTGGAAGCCAGCCATTTCTTTTCCCTTTGGAAAAGACTTCAGAGAATTTGGTAGCTGGTTCCAGCCTCAATGGGGAAGAGATTAGGCAATGATAGGAAGCCGAGAAGGTATTATTAGTCCCTAGCACAGTAATTCATGGTGGTGTCAAATATTCTGTATTTAGATACTGCATATATAGTGTAACCCACTTAGGCTTGGTCTACACTACCACTTTATGTCAGCATAACTACGTCACTTGGGGTGTGGAAAATCCCCTGAAGGATGTAGTTATACTGACCTAACCGCTGGTGTAGACGGCACTATGTGACGGGAGGGCTTCTCCCGTTGATGTAGCTACCGCCTCTTAGTGAGGTGTAGTACCTATGCTGATGGGAGAAGGTCTCCTGTCCACACAGGTAGTGACTTTGCTAAGTGCTCCAGCGGCGCAGCTGCAGTGCAGTAAGTGTAGACAAGCCCTTAAAGTGAACTTGTGTATAGTGAAACTCCATCTGGGCGATAACAATAAGGGTATGGCTACACTGGAAACTTCAAAGCGCTCCCGCGGCAGCGCTTCAAAGTGCGAGTGTGCGAGCGCCGGGAGGGAAACTCTCCCAGCGCTCCTGGTAATCCACCTCCATGAGGGGATTAGCTCCCAGCGCTCGGAGCCTGTCTACACTAGCGCTTTAAAGTGCTCTGACTTGCTGAGCTCGGGGAGATTTTTCGTAAGTGTAGCCAAGCCCAAAGTCTCAGTTGTCCCATTTTAAGCTACACTGTTGTGGTTTGCGGTCCTGCCATGGTAGAATTTGACATGGTTAAAGCACATTTTGTTCTCATTGTATGGGTAGGAGTGAACTTTTTGAAGACAAACAAACGAAAAAAACCACTGTTCCTGCATTAGCCTCTGGCGCATCTGTTTTCACAGTGTTAAATTTTTGTACTGTAGTCTCTGGGTAACTCAAATCTTTTGAAAACATTACCCTGAACTAGCGTTTCAGCACACTGTGTATGCTGGAACTCCAGTGAGCGAATTTCTGCCTAGAGTGTCCGTCTTTTGTGAAAAGAAAAGGAGGACTTGTGGCACCTTAGAGACTAACTCCTTTTCTTTTTGCGAATACAGACTAACACGGCTGCTACTCTGAAACCTGTCTTTTGTGAAGGACACTACAGTAAAGGCTCCACCATGTGTAATCTAAATTAATTGTAGTTGGCATGGGGGGAGGAATTCAAATAACATTAAAGCTGTGAGGATGTCAGATGTCATTTGGAATTTAAAACTAGGGAGTTGAATACAGACATGAAATTCTAATTCAAGTCACCAAAAAGGAATGCAAAATCATGGGCAGAGACAATGGAGGTCCCCTGCACTGAGAGAGCCTCCAGAAACTGTGGAAATGGGATTTTCCTACAGGCTTCCGGTTTTTATTTTAAAAAGTTTCTAGTTCTCCTTTTGAAGTGTAAATACTGACACAAGGAAACAGTAGCACCGAGGCATGAAATCCCCACTTATCTTGATTGGGAGTTAAACTTTGACACTCTGCTATTAAATATTAGCATTGTTAACTGATTTGTTGCTGGATGATACACCAGATACATCCAGCAAATGTACTTACCTAGCACGGCTGAAAGTAAGTTGCATGTGCTGACATGTCAGTCATTTGAATTATGCAATGTTGTTGCAGCTATGTTAGTCCCAGGATATTAGAGAGAGAACTTATTTGTCCAATAAAAGATATTATCTCACCCACCCTGTCTCTTCAGTCATTTGAATTGACATTCCATAGGGAAATGCTGGAACAGGAATATGAGTTTTCTTTTGGTTTGGACTTTGTGAATCTCTGTGCCCAGCTCCTTAAAATCTCAATATGTGTTGTTAGATGCATGTTGCAGGTGTGAATTTTTAATGGTCTGGCTTTTCCACCTCCTCATCTAATATGCCTAAATTGATCATTGGATGTGCCATGCCAAGCTGCATGAATAATGTAGTCTTTTCTATAAATAAAAATTATATCTCCACAAACTGCCAACAGAGGACAAATCTCTCAGTGAATTCTGCTTCCTGCTATGCTTGTCGGTATCAACTGGTTTAACCAGAGCCATATTAGCACAGGCAGACTCTCCTTTCCAAAATCACTGCCACTTAAAATCAAAAAATCCACTTGAATGCAAATGCAAAGTATTAAAGACCTGTGAATGGCAGACATGGAAAGATAATCGTATGCTTAAGCTGCTAGATCATGTGGTGCTTTTGGCTTTGAAGACAATTTTGCGTCCTGCTGGTCTTACTGAAATTACAAGATTGAAGGAGACCTGAAAATTTTTCACAAACACTTGCAGTGTGGAAAATATATTATATGGAATTTCTGTCCAGAAAAAAGAAAAGAAAATCCCCTATAGAAAACCTGCTCAGTTGTGAAAGTGTCAAGAACAGACAAACTTAAATGGAGTATGGCTCACTGTAACTATTTCACCTTGCTTCAGTATTGCCATAAGTTTTTAGTATTCAGTGTTACGTTGTTTTGTAGCTCCTCGCTTTGTGGGCTTGTCTACACTTACATTTTGTCGCGCTCTAACTTGCTGGCTCGGGGGTGTGAAAAAATCACCCTCCTGAGCACAGCAAGTCTGAGCGCTTTAAAGCGCTAGTGTAGACAGGCTCCGAGCTCTGGGAGCTGGCCTCCCAGCGCTCGGAGCTAATCCCCTCGTGGCAGTGCTTTGAAGTTTCCAGTGTAGACATACCCCGTGTTAAGATACATTATCAATTACCCTCTCTCTGTTTAAGAGGGCAGCAGGGGTTTTGTTTTGCTTTTTAGGTTAGTATGAATACTGTCTGTAGTAAAGTACTGACACAGTTATGACACAGTTATGGTGCTTCAAACACCAGGTTAGACAAACATCTGTCAGGGATGGTCTGGATAATACTTAGTCCTGCCGTGAGTGCAGGGGACTGGATTAGAAGACCCCTCGAGATCCCTTCCAGACTGATGATTCATGAATAATAAAACTCCTACTTCCCATATTGGAGATCAAACGAACTACTTCAGCTTCTACATTGTAACTGGGCAGTTCAGCTTTATGCAAATGTCTGTTATGGCTTTTGGGGCTGCTCTGTGGCATCATCAGTTACTTACATTGCGTGGCTGGTAATGGTAGTTGTCAATTTCTTTGGGCCCTGCAGCCAGTTGTTTGGAAAACCAATCAGGCTAGCACAAGGGGAGTGGTGTCCTTTAACTCAAATCAATAACTTGCGTCAGTTACGTGTTTGAAGCTGATCAAAGTGGATACCACACATGTGGAAGCATGGGCTGCCTGGCTGAAAACAGATAATTTTCATAGAAGATATGAGGGTTTTTTTTACCATTTGCCGATTGTCAGTATATCTGCTTGAAATATCTTATTAGCTCCGTGCAATCTTTAGAGTAGTATTTCAATTTTCCCTTTTGGTACTGACAAGTCTGTTTTTGGTATAATATTGCCCTTGCTATTTCTGATTGCCTTCTATTGACTAGTTTCATATAACCGTTTATAATAGTGGCATCTGCTGATATAAGAGGATGTAGAAAAGGGCTCAGTCACTGCAAATCACTGATAGAAATGTTTTGCTGGTGCAAGCTGTTCTCCTGCTTCATGTCTTTGTTTGCTGCATTTTTATTTGGGTACAGAAACCAACAACCCAGTGATGACTTACGTCTGAGGTGCACTTAGTAATGCTGTGATTTGGGCATCTCTTAAGCTGTACTGCTTTGCCATTTTCAAAGTATACAATAAATGCACAATGTTTTCCCTTTACGACTGAGATTGTAACTTGGCGTAGCAGAGGCTGCAGAAGGAGGGGGAAGAGGAACCAGAGCAAGAGAGTTGAGATGCCAATCAGAGAAGAGGAGGTGGAAGCAGGAAATTGCAAGTCAGGGGGAAAGGGGTGGCCCAAGCTACTGTAAAGCACACAAACAATGCGGGGTGAAGGTGTTGGGACCAGGGAGAAGTGCAGTACTGAGCCTCAATTTGATTGTGTTAGTGCTCTGAATGAATGGGGAGGGGGAGATAGTCAAGTAAACCAAAGGCAGTTTTACTCACTGTTCTGTCATTGTGAAGTTTAATTTTCTAGCCAAAGGAGAGTAGACTGTGTTGCAGCTTTGAGCTCTGCAAATTTAATGGCAGCTGCTACAAGTTATCTTTTTTTATAGTATTGCAACCCCAAGCGTTGAAAAATTGTGACCCAGGCACTCCAGAACATGAGATTTTCTAAAATGATAATTTTTCGGTCGTTATTTGCTGGGCTACAAGAAAAACACCTCAAAGGCTGGGAGTTGACAACGCCATTAGGGGTGATTTGGACTGAAAGCTTCAATATGGACTGAAAGCTTCAATATGCTCTGTTAAAACCTTGCAGTTGTAAACTTAGCTCCTGCTGCCACAGCCAGGCAGTCTAGTTTGCAAATCAATCCTTGAGTTATACACTACATTTCAAACATGTTCAAATGCAAATTATATGCACACAGATTTGGTTGAAGTTTTAAAAACCTTGAACAATATCAAGCACCTCATACCATCCTGTTTTCTGGAGGGGAAAAAGGAGTGAGTATTTAAAACAAAAGCCAGAATTAGCAGAGGAAATGATGCAGGCCTTGGGGCAAGTAAACAAAAGTAGAATGCTAGGGAATTAGTACAGTGAAAATTCACGGAAAGTTAGATCTCTTGGTTTCATGTCAAAGACTAAATGTTTTGTGTAATTTACATACATCATGACAACCTTTCTGGACATTCTAATTAGATGCTTTCTAAGACATTTCTCTTGTTAGTGAGCGTAAGACCTTTAAAATAAAGTATCTGAATAGACATACATTTTTTTATCCAGATTGTCAGACTGAGTGGGGATACTAAAATGTGAGTGTAATGTACCAGATTGTGCTTCAGAGCATGCAAGGGCAGTTAATTTCAAATCAGAGCCATTAGTATGATATCTGGAAGTCTTTGGATCTTTGCACATTCAGTCCAATGAATAGAGACCACCTTACATAGCACCCTCCTAGATTTAATATCTACTCAATTTAAGATAAAACAGTAAAGGAAGGAAGCGTCTAAGAATATTCTCATAATTTTTTTTCCGAGAGCCTTGTAACAAATAATTTGAACAGCTCTTCCAATGAGTGTTCAGCTTTTTTGAAATTTGAATTAGGGCACTTCTAATTAGGATGTCTGTGCACAAGCACAGCTTCCATTAGCATCATGGGACAATGATCTCTTGCTTCTTCATACACACTAAGGAAAAGCCAAAACATATTTTCATAGTGGGCCACATTGATTCCGTTAGTGTTGTAGTACAATAACTATTTGCTACACAAATGATAGCTTTTTTGTCTGATGGACCTGGGTGCAGCAAAGTAACAGTTATTGACTGCATCATTAATCAGCCACATTCTGGCAGCCTAATAGAACAGAACAAGTAGCTACCCCTTCCCACTCCCTCCCACCCCCTGCTCCAAACAGTCCACACAAATTGCAATGGCTAAAAAATTACTTGGGTTGGCTTGAGTTACAGAAGGAGCTCAAAATAAACCTCACAAAATCCAGTCTAAGACTCTTTAGACTTGGTCTCTCCCCCTCCTGCCTCCCAAATGTCTCCTTGAGAATTGCTCAGCCCACGCTCTAAGGCCTGGTCTTCGCTAGAAGTGTGGAGCTACCTCACATTAGCAACGTGATGCAAAATCCTATTGAAAACAAGGCAGTTGGTAGTTTCAGTGTTTGGGGAGGGGTGGGGCCAGCGTGCAGAGCTGCCTAGCCGCACCTCTGCCTAGGAGCAGCAGAGACATGTTGCCGCTTGCAGGGAGCTGCCCGAGGTGAGCAGCGCCCGGATCCGGCACCTTGAAACCCCCCCTGTGCCCCAGTTCCCTGCCCCAAGCCCTCTCCTACAGCCAAACTCCCTCCCAGAGCCCACGCCCCGCACTTGCTCCTGCACTCCGAATCCCTCATGGCCATTCCTCCGCCTAGGAGCAGTAGGGACATGTCACCACTTTTGGGGAGTCACGCGGAGCCAGATAGGGACCCTGCCGGCCCTGAGCCAACCGGACTATAAACTGGACTTTCAATGAAGATCAGAAATGGCGGTTTATAGAGCTTTCCGGTTGGTAAAGTGCTGGATAACACAGCTTTTACTGTACAAAGAGAAATTTAAAGATATGGAAAATGTATGGCACATTTCTCAAAGCTGTTTCCAAATCTTTTGGTAGTTGTAACTGGAAACACACTGAACTTGTTGGGATAAACCTGTTCTTTACTTAGATTGTAAGTTTCTTGGACAGGGGCTGGGTTCTTGTTCTGTGTTGTGGACAGCATCTAACGCAACAGAGTCCAGCACCTTGCTCGTAGGTACTACCTCAGTACTAATAATAAATAATATAAATATGTTCAGTTGGTAACTGCTGGAGAGGCGGGGCTGAAATGAAGAGTTAGCATCCTGGTCCAAATTTTTTTGCCAGTCAACCAATGGTTTTGGTTTAAACCATTCTCTTGAGGTTTTTTGGAAGCACAGCACTGTAACATTTGTGCATCTTTTTATTATAATCTGCCACAACATGATGTCATTTAAATAGCTGAAATCTATTTTCCTCCTCTGTGTTCTAAACCCTTATTTTGAGTTACTCAGCGAATGAAAGTTGATGTATGCGTTTATTTTCAGTCACCCAGCATGGGCACCCTGATGGGAGTGTACCTTCCATGTATGCAGAATATCTTTGGGGTTATTCTCTTCCTTCGCTTGACATGGATGGTAGGAACAGCAGGAGTTCTACAGTCCTTCCTGATAGTCTTAATCTGCTGCTGTTGTGTGAGTACATGATCAAATTAAGACACTTCTCATACCACGTGTGCACCTCTTGCAAAGCTTTTACTATGCCCGTCTAAGGGGGTTAACTATACATGTGTGTAGGATTAAGACCAGGACTACACCAGAAACATTTTGCAGCAAAGCAATGTCAATTAGGAGTGTGATTTTTTTTGGGTGGGTGTGGGAGGGGATGGTAAACATTACTATAATGGTAAAAGTCCTAATGTAGATGCAGTTTTAATGGTGAACAAGTGTTTTTGTCAGTGTAGCTTAGGCTATGTCTACACTAGACTTCTGCTGGTATAGCTCTGTTGGTCAGGATGCGAAGAGGTCTGTGGCTGGCAGAATCTCCAGCTGTATCAGTGAGTTGGTGCTTTACAGATATGTTTATTTTGCTTGTGGGGGTGGGGGACTTACAAAGTGCAGCTTTGCTGGTATACCTGTGTCCACAGTACGAACTCTTTGCCAGTATAGCATATTGGCACTCCTATGATGGTAAAGCACTTCAGATGCAGCCTTATTTCACTCAGGGAAACGGTGTAACCTCTATCAGCAAAAGTACTTTTTTGCTGGTATAAGCTGCGACTAAGCTAGGAGGTTTGCTGGGATAGCTATGCCAGCAAACCTGTTCTTGTGTAGGCCAGGCCTAAGTTCGTTGGGTAGTGAAGAGTGGTGAAGGAAGCCCTGCCATGATCTATGGGAGAATCTACCCTGCAGTGCTAATATAAATTGTTCAGATTGCATGTGCAGTCTAAGCAGTTACGCAGCCATGCTCTTGCAGGAGGGCTTTGGAAATTCAGATCCCGCAATACTGTCCAAGTAAATGTGACAGTAAATGTGTGAAGTCTTACAGAGCTCTTCTCCTTGGCTGTTGTTCAGCTCTTTGGCACATCTGTTACGCTGTACGTGCAAGCCACGCTCATCTCCCACATGAAAGGCTGAAGAGTTGTGAAATCATTGAGTTTTCTGCATTGAGAAAATGACCTTTGGAGGGTGTGACATACCAGGGTACAATACACACTAATGAGCAGCTGTGTTCTGCAACCCTAGCCTGCAAACTTTGGTGCCTTACAATGCTTTGGTTGAAACAGTTCCCACCTGGGCCACTCACAAACAGCCGTTCAGCATGCAAGCCACACCCTGTGTGTCTGTGTGTAACTGCAGCTGGACAGCTACATTGGGTTACACGCCAGCTCTCACCAGCCTGGGTTATACTTCAGGGTGACCTCAACACACCCCCAGTCTTAGATTTTTCCCCCCCAGAATTGTATGTCCTGTACTTCCCAGCCCTGTTCTGGACAGTACAAATTATATAGTGTGTGTTATTTCTTTAATAGAAATAATATGCACACAACTTGCCACCCCAAATGGAGTTTCCCAGACACTTAAATTTAAACACACCAGATTAGGTAAAACAACAAAAGAGCCACAAAGAGAGAGATTTAAAGAACAAGTAATGGGGCATAAAAGTCAGAAATGGTTATAAGAAAATAAAGTTAAAATGCTACTAGTGCCTAACTTGACAAATTATATTAGAGTCAAGCAAAGTTTCTCACCATATGCTTTCAGCTCTCTTATTGACCAAATCCCCTAGGCCAGGACCGCTTCTCCCAGAATCCAGTGAATGCTTTCTTTGTTGCTTCAGGGTGTGTGTGTGTGTGCGCGCACATGCATGCGCACGCTTGTACTTTGGGGTGTTTGTCCCTCCTTTTTATAGTTTCAGTCCCCCTCTTGAAAAACATTTCCAGCTGTGTACTAGGAGACAAAAAGTCTGTAGGAAAGGAGTTCCCTGCTGCTTTTCCCTCACTTATTTGAGCTTCCTTTGTTTCCCTTCCTGCTTGATGACTCTGTTTACTGCTTAAATGCAAATTAATCAGAGTATACATTCGTTTGTTTAAGATACACCTGTTTGCCAACCTCAGTTTGGTCCATCTGGTAATAACACCATACAATAGAATCTTATAACTTCAGTGTTGCCACACATATTTTATCAGAACAATACTGATCAACACATTGAGTTTTCAAATGATAACTTACAAGGCATACTTTGTACAAAGATTATTACAGTAGATACTCCTGGGGGAATTCTGCGCCACTGTGCGTGCGCAGAATTCATGTCGCCCGCAGATTTGTTTGCTTCCCTGCAGAAAAATGACTTTTTGACAGGGATGCAAAGGGAAGCTGCAAAAGCAGTTGCACACCACTCCCTAGCTGCACAGGTACATCGTTTCAGGCACCCAGAGCAGCCAGCGGAGAGGTAAATCACTGCAGGGCTGGGGACACCCCAGCCAGTGGCTCCTACTCTGCGCTGGGATCAGCTGCTAGTCCCGGCTGGGCTGGAGGAAGGGGAGGATGAGATTTCCTCTTCCTCTGCAAAGAGTGGCCCCAGAAACCTCCCCCAGCTCCAGGAAGCTCACCATCCTCCCCTGCTTGCAGTCCCCATCACTCCTTAGCTGTGGGGGGAGGAGTCACTGTATGGGGAGCTGCTCCCCCATCCGTCCAACCCCCGTGCATCTGGACCTCCCATATCCAGACACCCCCACAAAGCCTCACCCCATATACCCGGAACCCCCCAGCCCTCCATACCAAACCCCACCCCACTGAACCTCAACCCCTGCATCTGGAGCCCCCCTGCCTCCGGACCCACACCACTGCACCCAGACCACCCCCCACTGAGCTCCCTGCACTCAAACCTCCACCCTGACGAGCCTCATCCCACTGTACCACCCTGAGCCCCCATATCAAGACCCCCATGCCACTGATCCCCAAATAGCTGCACCCAGATCCCCACCTCACCAAGTCCCATTCCCCCAGCACCCAGACCTCCCTGCTGAGACCCCCACACCCAGACCCCTCCCCTGAGCCCCAACATCCTTCACCTGGAAGCCCCTGCAGAGTCCCATTGCCCTTGTACCTGGAATCTTCCTGCAACAAACCGCTGTGCATCTAGATCCCCCCCACATAGACCCCCTACTGAGCTGCCTGCACCCAGATTGTCCCATACAGAATCCTCTCACCCCACACCTGGATCCCCCCACACAGAGCCCGTGTCCCAGATGATCTCCCACCTTCATAGAACCAGTGGCCTGTGCCGCCCATGCCATGCTGGAGTCTCTGAATTTATTAATTAAGAAATAAAACTTGCAGAATTTTAAAATGCACGCAGAATATTTAATTTTTTGGTGCAGAATGCCCTCAGGAGTAAGTAGTGTAAATGGTGTGAATACAGGGGTACGTTCTGTCTCTGTGGGGTAGAACAGAATGCTGTAAATTCATACTTAAGCATGACAACTTTTTCTGTTTTGCTTATTTTACTGTACAGGGAAAGAATTGTATTTTTGAGACTGTTACTTATGTAAATATATCCATTGTCTTGTTCTCCACAGACTATGCTGACAGCCATATCAATGAGTGCAATAGCAACAAATGGTGTTGTTCCAGGTAATTGTAATTAGCAAATTCCTCACTTCAGTCAGAATAGCGTATCTGTAATCCATTTTGACTCACATTTCCTCTCTGTAAGTACAACTGTAAACATGTGCAAATCTGTATGCTAACTAGAAGATTGTGGTTTAATAAATGTAGATTTTTTGTTGCTTTCCGTTGAAATTAGATGAGAAGGCAAACTAATATCCTGACATGTCAAGTGAAGAACTGTATGGTACCTTCTCCAGAATTGCCAACCCCAAGTGTTAAAATATCATGAGCCAGGTGCCTCCCCGAACCCATCAGATTGGCTTAAAAATCATGAGATTTTTTTTTTTTTTTTAAAAGTACCTGTTTTTTTTCTTTCTTACCGAAAAGGTATGGGTGGGTCACATTTTCAAACTTTGATCTGCTACCATAAGGGCTAATAACTATTTTAAACAAAAGCTGAGATTCTCCCCATATCACATGTCTCCCAGATTCAGGTTTTTGAGTAACACAGTGACTTGTTAAAATCATGAGTTGGCAACACAGCTTCTCACCTATTTGAGAAACATGTCCTGTACTAACCACGAGGAGTACTTGTGTACTCCAGAGCACTTCAACCTCCCTGGACACACAATAACAGACCTAAAAGTGGCAATTCTTCAACAAAAAAACTTCAAAAACAACAAGAAACTGCAGAAATGGAATTAATTTGCAAACTGGACACCATCAAATTAGGCCTGAATAAAGACTGGGAGTGGATGGGTCACTACAAGAACTAAAAACTAATTTCCCCATGCTAATTTTCCCCCTACTGTTATTCACACCTTCTTGTCAACTGTTTGAAATGGGCCTGATTACCAAAACAAAAGTGATTTTTCCTCTGGCTGATAATAGCCCACTTTAATTGAATTGTCTTGTTAGAACTGGTAGGGCAACTCCCATCTTTCCATGCACTACGTATCTGTATCTTCCTACTATATTTTCCACTCCAGGCATCTGATGAAGTGGGTTTTAGCCCACGAAAATTTATGCCCAAATAAATGTGTTAGTCTCTTAGGTGCCACAAGGACTCCTCGTTGTTTTAGCTGATACAGACTAACATGGCTACAACTCTGAAACATGTTCTGTACTGAACATATCCATCATTGCTATGGTCTCACTGCTATTTTTCTAAGTTTTTTTTGCTTCAGATCCCATCAAGTTGAACTTCACAGCAGATTGAGGGACGATTATTATTTAATGAGGAAGAAAAGTAGTTTAGTGTATACAAAATCCAGGAATTTAAAATGTAGCTCACTCTTCAGAATGGTGATACTAGCTAACCTTTCATTGGACACTAAACAGATTTGCACTACGTGTAACTTAGCTCATCTGTGTTGTAGCCCTTTGTTAGGGTTCCTTCCTCACTCTGAACTCTAGGGTACAGATGTGGGGACCTGCATGAAAACCTCCTAAGCTTACTTTTACCAGCTTAGGTTAAAACTTCCCCAAGGTACAGATTAATTTTACCCTTTGCCCTTGGATTTCCACTGCCACCACCAAACTTTATCTGGGTTCCTGAAAAAACGGAGTTTGGACACGTCTTTCCCCCCAAAATCCTCCCAACCCTTGCACCCCACTTCCTGGGGAAGGTTTGGTAAAAATCCTCACCAATTTGCATAGGTGACCACAGACCCAAACCCTTGGATCTTAGAACAATGAAAAAGCATTCAGTTTCCTTACAAGAAGACTTTTAATAGAAGTAAAAAGAAAAGAATCACCTCTGTAAAATCAGGATGGTGAATACCTTACAGGGTAATTAGATTCAAAACATAGAGAATCCCTCTTGGCAAAACCTTAAGTTACAAAAAAGACACACAGACAGGAATATTCATTCTATTCAGCACAGCTATTTTCTCAGCCATTTAAAGAAATCATAATCTAACACATACCTAGCTAGATTACTTACTAAATTCTAAGACTCCATTCCTGTTCTGTCTCTGGCAAAAGCATCAGACAGACAGACACAGACCCTTTGTTTTTCTCCCTCCTCCCAGCTTTTGAAAGTATCTTGTCTCCTCATTGGTCATTTTGGTCAGGTGCCAGCGAGGTTACCTTTAGCTTCTTAACCCTTTACAGGTGAGAGGATTTTTCCACTGGCCAGGAGGGATTTTAAAGGGGTTTACCCTTCCCTTTATATTTATGACACCCTTCATTTACCCAGTTTGTCTGTCCATATGACTGTTTCTCTTATCTGAAGAGGGTAAAAATATGATTTGTTTTTGAGTCTAACAAATTTGAAAAGAATGGGAAATTGCAAAATAGAATAAGATTAAATACCATAAGCACGCTCAGGATTTCGGTCACTGCAAATTACTCGCACCCACCTGTGCAGTTGTCCCCAACTGTAAAAGATTTAAAACTTTAATCTCTTGAAGCATTAGTTGACAGAAACTATTAAATACATTTCTGAGGAGGAAACCTGGATTGAGCCAAGATACAAGACTTGATTTAATATCCTGTATTTCTGCTGAATGCTGCCTAGGCAAATGAGAGCTATCTTTGTGTAGTTTGCTATTGTGTAAACAAAGTTATTTCTGGTAAAGATCTGAAAAAAGCTAGATATGCAATTTATTACTTTGTATGAATGTCCTGGATTTTTTAAAATGTGAAGTTTGTGATATAAAAATATTCTGGAAAATACCACCTCCCTTTCCTGTCTTGTAGCTGGTGGCTCCTATTTCATGATCTCAAGGTCCTTAGGTCCAGAGTTTGGTGGAGCTGTGGGACTGTGCTTTTACTTGGGAACAACGTTTGCAGGAGCTATGTACATACTTGGTGCCATTGAGATTTTATTGGTGAGTAGTAATGCTTATGTGGCAATTCACATGTAGATACTACTGCAGAATTCCTGCCTCATAGGGATAGAGTTATTCTCATTTTGAAGGGGCATAGAGGATGATGGCTTACATTTTCAAAAGTGATTATTGGGTGCCACTTTTATTCTTTTCTAGGGGCCTGACTTTCAGAAAGTGCAGTGTCCACCCTCTGGAAGCCAGGGCCCTTGAAGGTGTCTCATTTTGGGTATCAAAAGACAGAGACTCCCCAAAATCACTATTCACTTTTGAAAATGTAGGTTGAAGTGTGACTCATTCCAAGCCACCCAGTGAGTCAGTGACATAGCTAAGGTTAGTTAAATTGTATTATGGAAGTAAAACTACAAAACTGCCCATATCGATTGACTATTCTACAAAGTGAAGAATCCTAGCTCAATGTATTTTGCAAATAGAGAATTGATTTACATGGAAATAAATATTCGGGGTATGTAATGCTTATTTAAAATTGAAACATGCAATAAGTGGAAGTATATTTGAAACTCTTGTTGTCTTACTGCAGCCTTTAGTTAACTTTTTGTTTTCTATTTCAGACATACATTGCACCGCAAGCAGCAATTTTTCATTCCACTGGTGCCCATGATACATCAAGTGCTACGCTGAACAACATGAGAGTTTATGGAACCATATTCCTCACCTTTATGGCTGTGGTAGTTTTTGTAGGAGTGAAATATGTTAACAAATTTGCTTCTCTCTTCTTGGCCTGTGTAATAATATCCATATTGTCCATTTATGCTGGAGCTATCAAGTCCATCTTCGATCCCCCTGCATTTCCGTAAGTAATCTTGCTGGCTGGGTATGTCAACCTGCAAGTCAGAAATATCTTTGGTTGCCATTTGGAAGCCCTGATTCAATGGAAGTTATACTAAAGTTACCCAGCAAATATGGCAGCACTTATGTGCTATAAAAATTATTTACTTTAGGAATGATAAATTTTATGTTGCAGTGAGCATAGTTCGATAAACCCATGAAACAAAGCTCCTTAGCCTAAAATAAACACACCGTTAACCTTTACCATCTTCAGCCAGTTCCACTAGGATAGTGTCTTCTGCACAGGTAGAGGAAGATGGATGGATGTTGACACTTTTTAACCTGTTCCCCCACATACAGAAACAGAGAAGCAGATACTCAAGTTACAACATAAACTTTCCTCACATGGCATCAGTTCATTTTATGTTGCAAAGTTGCTTTAGTTCTGAGCCAGAGTACAGTTGACTTAGTCTTTTTTGTTGTAAGTTCAATGCAGGCTTACACTGTACCAGGGAATGCACAGCACCGGCAATGGTAGCAGGGGATTATGCCGTACAGTTAGGGTAGCTTAATCAGACAAATTTTTCACTTGACAAAAGTAGTGTCATGCTAAATGAGTAGCCACAACCCTCTACTGGCCCCCACTTTGCATGTAGAGCCCAGTCTGCACCATTGCAGTGAAGAGTGGGAGTTTTACCATTGACTTCAAAGGAAGTGGATAAAAAACAAAAAACAAACTCACATACAAATGATCAGGAATAAATTAAAAATACAGTGTTTCTCTCTCCCTGCGGCTTTCTCTTATTTAGCGAATGCTTCCCTCTGCTTGTCTACTCATGCTGGCACTTATGTGGGGCTGGAAAGGATCTTGAGTCAAGAGGCAGGACCATCCCCTGACAGATTTTTTCCAATCTATTATTAAATACCTTCAGTTAGGGGATACCACAATCTTCTTTAGAAGCCTCTTCCAGAACTAAACTATCTTTATAGTTAGAAAATTTCTCCTAACATTTAACCTAAATCTTCCTTGTTGGAAACTATTACTTTTTGTCCTACTGTCAATGGACATGGAGAATAATTAATGAAAGTCCTCTTTATAACAGCCCATATCATATTTGAAGACTGTTATCAGGTATCCCCCCAAGCCTTCTTTTCCCGAGATTAAACATGGCCATTTTAAAAATCCTTGTCTAATAGATCATGCTTTCTAAACCTTTTATCATTTTTGTTGCTCTTCTCTGGACTCTCTCCAATTTGTTCACATCTTTCCTAAAGTATGGCACCCAAAACTGGACACGGTACCTCAGCTGAAATTTCACCGGTGCCAAGTAGAGTGGGACAGTTACCTCCGTGTCTTACATATGACACTCCTGTTAATATGCCCCAGAATTATATTAGCCTTTTTAGAAACTGTATTGGATTGTTGGTCATATTAAATTTGTGATCCACCAGTCCTTTTCAGCAGTACTATTGCCTAGCCAGTTATTCCCCCTTTTGTACTCGTGTATTTGATTTTTCTTTGCTAGGTATAGTACTTCACACTTCTCTTTATTGAATTTCAACTTGTTGATTTCAGACCAATTCTCCAATTTGTTAAGGTCATTCTGAATTCTAGTCCTGTCCTCCAAAGTGCTTGCAACCCTTTCTAGCTTGGTGTCATCTGCAAATTTTATAAGCATACTTTCCACTCTGTTGTTCTAGTAATTAATGAATATATTGAATAGTACTTGATCCAGGACGAACCCCTGTGGGACCCTATTGTATACACACTCCCCATTTTTCCCCCCTGCCAGTTTGACAGTGAACCATTGGTAACTACTCTAAGTACGGTCTTTCAGTCACTCATGCATAAAAGTAGAGCAAAAATGTTGGCTAATATTTTTTTTATCATGGATTACAGCCACAATGAAACTTCCTGAATTTCTTTTCTCTCCACTCCCGACAAACCAGCTGGAGAAACGTAGCAGTGACCTGATATTCACACTGGTGATCTAGGCTTGGTCAGACTGTACCTCATATGGCCCCATTAGTTTAGTATCTGAGCACTTCACAGTCTTTCATGTATTTATCCTTTGAGCACCCCAGTGACATAGGGAAGTGCTATTGTCCCCATTTTATAGAGAACTGAGGGGGAGAGAGAGAGAGACTAAGAGACTTGCCCAAGGACACAAAGGAAGTCTGTGGCAGAGGAGGAAATTGACCCCCTGGTCTCACAAATCCAAGGCTTGTGCCTTATAATCCTTTCCCTCCATCTGTTCTGCATCCCCCTCATGGGGGAAGGGGCAGTAGGTGGCACATACCTTTCAGATGCTGCTGATCTTCAGAACTGCCAGCCCTACTTGTAGGCAAATATCCCGAGCTGCAGCCTGGAAGTGGGACACTGAGGGGCAATGGAGAGAGAAATAAATATATTTTCATTTTGAATATTAAAACAAAACAACATCAACATATACACTCCCGGTTCTGCTGCCCAGGAGAGTCTCAAATCTGGAACATGTTGTTGGGGAGGAGAACCACTTTAAAATCGCAGTGTATGGAAAGGAAAAAGCTACACTTTCCAAGTAACATCTGATGTGAGTAACCATCTTTGCTTAGTATGTGGTTCTAAATGACTCTCTCATTCCCCTTCCAGGATTTGCATGCTCGGCAACAGGACCCTGACGAGAGATCATTTTGATGTTTGTGCCAAAACAACAATTGTGGGCAATATGACTGTGGCCACCAAGCTCTGGGAACTCTTCTGCCATAGTTCTAACTTAACAACTGATAATTGTGATGAATATTTTCTGCTCAACAACGTTACGGAGATAGCAGGTATTCCTGGAGCTGCAAGTGGCATTTTAAAAGGTATGATACAAAACACGGTTGGATCAAAGGATATCCTCTTGTTAAGAGGCATGTATAGCCGTTGAGGTGGATTGAGCTGTTCTATGCTTGTAGAGAAAAAGCACCAAAGAAATGTAATTACAGTTAAGAAAACCCTTTTGAAGAAAACTGTTAGAATACTGTAAAGAGTAGATGGTGTTAATCACTTTTCTAGATAAGAGGCTTACTTTCAGTTCTACTAAATTGACTGACTGAGACTGATATTTGCAATAGAAACTCAACAATAGTAATATTGTAGGGCGAATTAACCTGGGCATACTATATAACTCTTCAAAACCAGGCTAAAATGTCTGGGTTGGAGAGTAGTGGTAGGATATTACGTATTCAGATTTATAACATAGTAGATTCTAGCTGGAAGAAGCATAGAAGTGTGTGCATGAGCGTGATTTATGTGTCCTTGCTCTCTACTGCAAAGCTACAGTATATAATACTACAAAATGCTCACTCTAAACAAGAATTAAAGGGAAAGTTTGCTGTGTGCAGGTGATGTCTATATGTTCATAAAGTTCCTATTTAACAAGGAAAATTAGCAGACATACTCACTGCTTATTCCATTCATTGTCGAAGCATTAGTTAAATGCAAATCCATGCAGTGTCATAATACTTCCACTTCCTAAAAAATAAAATAACTTCCATCCAGATATCTGGTCCGGGTTACCTAGGTTTCTTCAGTTATGTACACTCTTTCATTTAATATGCCTAATTTATGTGACAATGCTAAACTTATGTTGCTTTGGTTAGAGCAAGTCTATTTAAGTGGTATGTTAGAATGATATAACATCAGTTCGTTAACTTTATAGAATCAAAAAATAAATGTTGCATAAACCTTTCTAGGCAGTTGGTTTGTGTGGTGATAATCCAAACATGTTCATTGCTCTTGTGAAAAGTTTGCATGAAAATTCGATGGAAACGTTTTCTGTTTTGGACGTTTTGTGTGTCTAGATTTGTAACTGTAGTAACCCACTATGTTTCACTCCAGCCTGTTATTGCTTTGAGTAGATAATTAAGAGTTCAGTAAGTTAGGTTTGGGTTAACCTGTATTTACTGCTCTCTTTTTGTGGTGGTAACTCCCCTTTCCTGCCCTCTTCCCGCCCCCCCAGATAATCTGTGGAGCAATTATATGGAGAAAGGAGAGATACTGGAAAAAGCTGATCATCCATCAGTTGATGTACCAGGGCTGAAAAGCAACCTTCACCTTTATGTGTTTGCGGATATAGCCACTTCCTTCACAGTACTAGTTGGCATCTTCTTCCCTTCAGTGACTGGTGAATACTGGGAAAGGGTTTTGTGCAATTTTTAATTAACTTTCTTTGATCTCTTGTGGTGTTTCCAGAAACATTTTCTTAAACTGAAATCTATGTTTAGGTATCATGGCTGGTTCAAACAGATCAGGAGACCTCAAAGATGCACAAAAATCTATTCCTGTTGGAACAATTCTGGCGATTGTCACCACGTCACTCGTCTGTATCCTTTAAAAGTAGAATGGAATTCTAGCACATTGTGACTCAATTGAACTTTTATTATTATTTGTGTTCCTGGTTCATTGCACTGTTTTCAGTTGATTATAAATACTCCTATGATTGTCATATGTCAGTGAAAGAACATAAACACTGGTTCAATTGAGAGCATGTAACTTCCTCCCCTTTCTATCTCTTTGCTTTCTAGCTGCTGTTATTTGCTCCTTTAATAAAGCTGACTAGCAGTCAGTGGTATCTTGGGCTGGCAGAATGCAGAGATCCATTACCATTGCCAGCTGGTAAGATGGGGAAGAACCTTAAATGCAGGAAATTCTAGATCACAGTACCTTTTTAAACAAATAGGTTTTTAATTTTGAGTAAAGGGAGGGCAATGTGTGCTGTCTAATAATTTGTAAGCGAATGTCTGTGTAAAAGGGCACATAAGGATCATCAAAGTAGCCAGAGATGGCAAGATATAGTAGCAAGGTTGTTGAATAAGAAATGGAATTGGGGTGGGGACGGAAAGTTGGAATAAAAGGAATCAGTGTAGACCAGACAACTCTAAAATTAGCTGCTGATATTCTGCTAATAAGCTCTTCTGAAAACTAAATGTGAACCAGGATGGCACATGAACTGTAGCTTGCAAGTGTCTTCTGGCACATCTGCCAAGCTGCAGATCAGGGGATTGTCAAAGGGACAATGTACTCCATGTCATACTCCTGCTGTCTTCCAGAGAGCTCCCATATGGCACTTCCGGAGTGGACCTTTTTGTTCCAGAAGTTGTTGTTTGTATGTTGATGTAACGGGACAGTCTGGTGACCAGCTGGCTTAGTGGTCAGGCAGTGGCCTTACAGTTTTTGACGGCGTAGTCATTCAGAGGGCGTCCCGGCCAAATTGTATGCAGCAGGCCCCAATCCCTCCTTAGTTCTGTTTTTACAAGGGAGCATGCAGGCACGGTAGGGCGACCCAGGCCCACTCCACCTGGTCCCCATCCAGGACCCTTGGGGTTTGTCAAAGTGTCTAGATCAGTAATTGATCTACTCCAAGTTACACTTTCGCTGGGTCACTTCCTACCTGATTGGAGCTCTTCTGTTTGGGGCATGGTTGCTGGCTTACGCTTCCCTTGGTCTGTTAATGTCCTGTTCAAAGCAGTCTCCTTTAGGGCTTTCAGCTCCCACTGGGGAGTTTTGAAGTGGAAAACTAATTTTATTAAAAACATTAACCATGTCTCTTTAATCCAGTCTTTCTTAAATTTGAATTTTGGAACAACAATTTAATCATATTTGTCTCTTAACTATTAAAGATACATATGTACGTTGGGTGATATTAACAACTCACTGCCCCGCATACCTCAAGTGATCATGATACCTGACTATATAGAGGATACCACTGTATCATAATCATTTGCACAGGGGCAAACATAGAGCTTTAAGGATGTTCAATATAATTGCATTGATTTATCATGTCTAAATAAAATTACCTTTCTTAATGTACTCTGTACTCAAGATTTCAGCAGTGTATTACTATTTGGAGCCTGCATAGAGGGTGTTGTTCTTAGAGATAAGTAAGTAAGATGAAAATATTTTACCTATCACATGGTAGGGGAGGTTGTGCCCTGGCTTTGGCCAATGAATCTTTTAGTCTTTGCCTTCATCTTCACACCTGACTAGAGCTGCCTCTTAGGCACATCTGCATTCAAAATGTAAAGGATACTTTGGACGAATGGGTTCTGCACTTCCCTCTGCTTTGTGTGACTGCTCCCTCCAATCTCTAGCAGTGTAGGGTCTTCAGAAGAACATTTTACCCATTTTGCCTTGCATCACGTGTTGCCTTTTGAGTTCCAAGAGGTACTAGGTTCAAAGATCAATTTCTTGCCATTACAGTTGACTTCCTAGAAAATCAAAAACCCACTGATGTTATCTGAACACTGAACTTCATCTTTGCTCCCTTGTTCTCCCTCTCTGCCTCCTTATTAGACCTGGTGAAATTTTTCCTTGCAAATAAATTATCTGATGAATTCAGCCCTTTTTCCTCCTGAGAAACTAATTTTTGATTCCTCCAAATGTATTGACTATTTGTGAGAATTTGTCTAATAGTTAGGTTTCAGAGTAGCAGCCATGTTAGTCTGTATCTGCGAAAAGAACAGGAGTAGTTGTGGCACCTTAGAGACTAACAAATTTATTTGAGCATAAGCTTTCGTGGGCTACAGCCTACTTCATCAGATGCATAGAATGGAACATATAGTAAGACAATATATATACACACACATACAGAGAACATGGTGGCTGACCTTTGTGACTTTGTCTTCACCCACAACAATTTCACATTTGGGGACAATATATACCTTCAAGTCAGCGGCACTGCTATGGGTACCCGCATGGCCCCACAGTATGCCAACATTTTTATGGTTGACTTAGAACAACGGTTTCTTAGTTCTCATCCCCTAATGCCCCTACTCTACTTGCGCTACATTGATGACATCTTCATCATCTGGACCCATGGAAAAGAAGCCCTTGAGGAATTCCACCATGATTTCTACAATTTCCATCCCACCATCAACCTCAGCCTAGACCAATCCACACAAGCAGTCCATTTCCTGGAAACTACTGTGCTAATAAGCAACGGTCACATAAACACCACCCTCTACCGGAAACCTACTGACCGCTATACCTACTTACATGCCTCCAGCTTCCATCCAGGACACACCACACGATTCGTTGTCTACAGACAAGCTCTAAGATACAACTGCATTTGCTTCAACCCCTCAGACAGAGACAAACACCTATAAGATCTCTATCAAGCGTTCTCACAACTACAATACCCACCTGCTGAAGTGAAGAAACAGATTGACAGAGCCAGAAGAGTACCCAGAAGTCACTACTACAGGATAGGCCCAACAAAGAAAATAACAGAACATCACTAGCCGTCACCTTCAGCCCCGAACTAAAACCTCTCCAGCGCATCATCAAAGATCTACAACCTATCTTGAAAAATGATCCCTCACTCTCACAGATGTTAGGAGACAGACCAGTCCTTGCTTACAGACAGACCCCCAACCTGAAGCAAATACTCTCCAGCAACCACACACCACACAACAAAAACACTAACCCAGGAACCTATCCTTGCAACAAAGCCCGTTGCCAACTGTGTTCACATATCTATTCAGGGGACACCATCATAGGACCTAATCACATTAGCCACGCCATCAGGGGCTCGTTCACCTGCACATCTACCAATGTGATATATGCCATCATGTGCCAGCAATACCCCTCTGCCATGTACATTGGCCAAACTGGACAGTCTCTATGCAAAAGAATAAATGGACACAAATCTGACATCAGGAATCATAACATTCAAAAACCAGTAGGAGAAAACTTTAACCTCTCTGGCCACTCAGTAACAGATTTAAAGGTGGCAGTTTTGCAACAGAAAAGCTTCAAAAACAGACTCCAACAAGAAACCGCTGAGCTTGAATTAATACACAAACTAGATACCATTACGTGGATCCATAACATGGATTTGAATAGAGGTTGGGAGTGGCTGGGTCATTACACATATTGAATCTATTTCCCCACGTTAAGTATCCTCACACCTTCTTGCCAACTGTCCAAATGGGCCATCTTGATTATCACTACAAAAATGTTTTTCTCCTGCTGATAATAGCTCATCTTAATTAATTAGCCTCTTACTCCACTTTTTCATGTTCTCTGTATATATAGATGTGTATACTTATTATATGTTCCATTCTATGCATCCGATGAAGTGGGCTGTAGCCCACGAAAGCTTATGCTCAGATAAATTTGTAAGTCTCTAAGGGGCCACAAGTACTCCTGTTCTTTCTAATAGTATAGACAATCTTGGGCCTATGTGATCTTAGCAGATAGTTGTTAAAATTAATAGTTTGCTCTCTGTTACTCGTGGGGAGTGTGGGCACAAGTTGGAGGATAATGTTTTTTATGCTTTGATTGAATGGCTGAAACTTTTTAATCCAGAATGACTGCTCATTAAGATAGTGCATGATCATGTCTGCTCATATGTGGTCTTGCTCACATACGGGTATTTATATGGCTGTTTCTCTTAAATGCTTGTGACCAAAATTCTGCTTGTGATTTAAGAATAAAAAGGGGACATGAACATGGTCAAATCCAAGCAGCCATTTATAATTAGGAAAATGTTGCCATGTTTGATGATCATGTTTCTTACCCGTAGGTTCTTAACCCTGTATATCGAGTAATGATAGTTATCCTAATGCTGGAATCTGCACACAGCATTTCTGAAAGCTCCCACGAGGATCATCTGTCAGGGGACAAGCAGGGAACTGCTTGTTCATAAAGTTTGGCATGAGGCTATGATCTGGTTGGAAAGGTCTAACGTCACTGAAGCTTTTTGTATGAGTCTGATATTGGGGATTGTACAACCAGTGTCCGTACTTAATGGTGGTTATTGCATGCTAAAAGACTTAGGGCAGAAAAACGTAGGTGTCACTGGTTGTTTAAATAAACAGGAGAGCTCGGTTTCAATGTAATAAGGATGGCTTCTCAGCAGATGAACAGAAATGAGTGCTTGGTTAACAAGGCAATAGAAATGTTATCAATAACTTAAAGACAGAAGCGACTTTTCAGATGGTTGTCCTTGGAAAATGGGTGCAACCTTCTTTCCAGTAGTGGTTATCTTGTAGGGGATCGCTTGGGCTACTGATTCAGATTTTTTCCTATATTGCAGTTTTCTGTTCAAGAAGTTGCTGGAAATTTTTGTTAAATAAAATCTAACCTACTTCTTGTTGGCTTACATTTGGATAAGACAGACTCTGTCCAAGTGAAATATAGGACTGGCTAACCTTTCTTTATCCTACAGGTATGGTGATGCGGTGAACAAGAACTTAGTGGTGGGCACACTTTCTTGGCCCTCACCATGGGTCATTGTGATAGGCTCATTCTTCTCTACCTGCGGAGCAGGCTTACAGAGCCTCACTGGAGCCCCACGGCTACTGCAAGCTATAGCCAAGGACAACATTATTCCTTTCCTATGGGTTTGTAAATATTAAAGAACATTCATTGTGCTGTACGCAGCATACACGAACCCCATGACCTAGCCAGTGGGGTAAGGTTATTTTCCTTGAGACTGGCAGAAGGAAATTGGAATATGTAGATGTAGTTGGCAGATATCAGAAACCTGATTGCCAAGTTGCAGGATGGTTATACAGAAATCAGGCCACTAAGCTTCAAATTCCCAGTCCCTGTTCTCAAGCCTACCAGCCCCACTACTAACCCTGCCTACATTTTGATCTAGTGCTAGGAGGAGTGGGACTGCTGAGAATCCTCTAGCCCCTCTCGCTATGGGATATTTGGACCTTGAGAGTCAGTGGTCATCTCTCACCCTTCTTCAGTGTTGCTCCTAGAGTAGGGCCTCAGTCAGGTTTCATGCATTGGAGCAGGAGCCATATCTTCACTTCTTAGTTGCTGTCTACTGGTTGCAGACCACTATTGCCTCTTCTCTGACTAGCTTCTTGCTTAATCTTGTTAAAAGCAGGGGAAGGTTCTTCCTAGAAACGGGAAGAAAGGGAGATCGGACAAGGATTCCCCACTCTAAAACTAGATTTTTCGCACACTGCCCCTTTTCAAAGTGAGGGTCTGTGCTTAAAATAAAAAAAAGGCAGGTGTGCGTTGAAGGGAGGATTTAGATGAGTATTTTTTGTATCATTAAGGAGTCTGACATCAAACTCAATGGAGTAGGGATTGGGTTTAGCGGCTAGCTGGACTCCTGTCCTTGTCCTTCAGTGAAAGATATGAAAATCCCCCGCTGCATGCTATCTTTGAAGTGGGAAATAGATTCTGTTTTAGAATGTTACTGAATATATTTGTAAGCAGTGTCAAGTTAAGCTATGAGTCAAGTGTGATAGTACAAATAAATAATGTTCCTTTTCTTTTTTTTGTTTAGGTTTTCGGTCATGGGAAAGCAAATGGTGAACCAACATGGGCGCTTCTGCTAACAGCATTAATTGCTGAACTCGGAATTCTTATAGCTTCCCTTGACATGGTGGCTCCAATTCTCTCTATGTAAGGAACAGAGTCACTGTTACAAGATTAACAGAAGTCACTGTGAATTCTGTTAATGTGATTACCTTTTAGAACCTCAATTTTAGATAAATACAATAGGTACTGGAACAGAAGTTCCATTTATTTAAGGACTACAAATGACCTGACATCCATCTTAATTAATATGTCAATTGTCATGCCTCTGAAATATATCATGAGTGAACATTTTTTCTGACAAAGCTGGATTGGGCCTCCCTTTAGAAAACCGTATCATGTTTGGTGCTCAGCAACTGGACAGAAGGAATGTGGTTAGATTCATTCGTAAAGAGTCTCTAACCTTTACACCTAATTTGTATTAACAGTTTAGGCCTGTCTTTAGGAACAAATTGGAGGTATAGCCTCTTGTGGCAAAACAGATATTGGTTTTGGTGTTATGTGAGTGACATTCAGACCTTTCCATTTTTACAGTTTGTGTCAAAAACTAACGTGTGCTAAATTATTCCTTCTCTACAGGTTTTTCTTGATGTGTTACCTCTTTGTCAATCTGGCATGTGCAGTACAAACACTTCTAAGAACTCCAAATTGGCGGCCCCGATTTAAATACTATCATTGGTAAGCAAATGACTCAGTGTAGACTTTGGTCTACTCTAGTCCGTATTCTGTGGTCTACTGAAGGGATTTGGAAGACTGTTGTTAACCCTTCATATGAGGTGAAGAGCTTCCTAATAGAGGGGATGTTAGTATGTGTTTCTGCTGCTGATCACGGGCATGGAGTGTTTCTGTAGGTGGCTTTTGCAGCTAGTCTTGAAGGCACCTCGTTACTGAAATTGTATCTTGGGCCACCTTTGGGTGGCTGAGAAGATGGAAAGATTCTGCAGTGCCCTGGGGCTGTCAGGAGGGACTTGGTTAAGGCTGCTGGATTTCTTCTATCCATCTGGTAGTAGTCAGGGATGCAGGAAGAAACTCCTCTGTTTAGTGTGGACCAGAATTGTGGTGATTAATGTAGTAATAGCATCATCCCCACAATACAGTATATTACAACAGTGGTGATGGGAGTTATTGGTTGCTTTTTATTGCCATCTCTTCAGGAGAGAGGATACAGAAGGTGAAAAACTTTAAGGGGGAAAGCAATTAAAATAACCAGTGGGTTTGTAGCAGATACTTCAAGATTTTAGCTCTTTTTCCCCAGGTACTTGCTAATACCTATTTTTTCCCCTCCCAGGGCTTTATCATTTTTAGGCATGAGTATTTGTCTTGCGTTGATGTTCATTTCATCCTGGTATTATGCTCTGGTGGCTATGCTCATTGCAGGCATGATTTACAAGTACATTGAATATCAAGGGTAAGTATTTTCAGAAGGAGCAGGGTAAGAGGAGACTTGGACTTACTTACCCTTTATTGGTTCGGCACATGAATGGGTATTGCCTTGTGTCTATGGTATTCATTTTCTACATGGGAGTATTTTTGCAACTGCTTTGCGGTGATGATTCCAAAAAGAATTCATTAGATCAGGATGTAAGCATCTTGGGTAAGCATCTGCAAGATGTTTCTTGAAATCTGTGTGATAGCGGGAACTGGAGGTCTATTTTGGGCATCTAGTTCCCTGCTCCACTTTACCCTCTTTGACCTTTGACTACTTCTAGCCAAGGAGACCTGAATGCAGCCCTCTCTAGAGCCATTCCACGTGGCTCATAAATTGGTCATAGAATCATAGAATCATAGAATATAAGGGTTGGAAGGGACCCCAGAAGGTCATCTAGTCCAACCCCCTGCTCGAAGCAGGACCAATTCCCAGTTAAATCATCCCAGCCAGGGCTTTGTCAAGCCTGACCTTAAAAACCTCTAAGGAAGGAGATTCTACCACCTCCCTAGGTAACGCATTCCAGTGTTTCACCACCCTCTTAGTGAAAAAGTTTTTCCTAATATCCAATCTAAACCTCCCCCACTGCAGCTTGAGACCATTACTCCTCGTTCTGTCATCTGATACCATTGAGAACAGTCTAGAGCCATCCTCTTTGGAACCCCCTTTCAGGTAGTTGAAAGCAGCTATCAAATCCCCCCTCATTCTTCTCTTCTGCAGGCTAAACAATCCCAGCTCCCTCAGCCTCTCCTCATAACTCATGTGTTCCAGACCCCTAATCATTTTTGTTGCCCTTCGCTGGACTCTCTCCAATTTATCCACATCCTTCTTGAAGTGTGGGGCCCAAAACTGGACACAGTACTCCAGATGAGGCCTCACCAATGTCGAATAGAGGGGAACGATCACGTCCCTCGATCTGCTCGCTATGCCCCTACTTATACATCCCAAAATGCCATTGGCCTTCTTGGCAACAAGGGCACACTGCTGACTCATATCCAGCTTCTCGTCCACTGTCACCTCTAGGTCCTTTTCCGCAGAACTGCTGCCTAGCCATTCGGTCCCTAGTCTGTAGCTGTGCATTGGGTTCTTCCGTCCTAAGTGCAGGACCCTGCACTTATCCTTATTGAACCTCATCAGATTTCTTTTGGCCCAATCCTCCAATTTGTCTAGGTCCTTCTGTATCCTATCCCTCCCCTCCAGCGTATCTACCACTCCTCCCAGTTTAGTATCATCCGCAAATTTGCTGAGAGTGCAATCCACACCATCCTCCAGATCATTTATGAAGATATTGAACAAAACCGGCCCCAGGTTTTGTCATGTGGTAAAGGTTTTTAGAGAGTCTTGGGGAGATAACCAGCACCCAAACTCAGCCTTGCTTGGGATGCATTAGATTACTATTCTCGGTCTCTTAGACTGGTAGTTTGGCCGCATAACTTCATCTTCACAAATCAGATGGTGAAGCACATGGTGTGGTTCATGCATGATGATGTTCCAAGGAAATCTCAACCACAGACAGGAGTGATTTATAATTTGCAAAGTACTCCATTTAGGAAGGAGCAATCAGTTTCACACATACAAAATGGGAAACGACTGCCTAGGAAGGAGTACTGTGGAAAGGGATCTGGGGAACATAGTGGATCACAAGCTAAATATGAGTCAACAGGGTAACGCTGTTGCAAAAAAAGCAAACATCATTCTGGGATGTATTAGCAGTATTGTAAGCAAGACACGAGAAGTAATTCTTCCGCTCTACTCCGTGCTAATTAGGCCTCAGCTGGAGTATTGTGTCCAGTTCTGGGCGCCACATTTCAGGAAAGATGTGGACAAATTGGAGAAAGTCCAGAGAAGAGCAACAAAAATGATTAAAGGTCTAGAAAACATGACCTATGAGGGAAGAATGAAAAAATTGCTTTTGTTTAGTCTGAAGAAGAGAAGACTGAGAGGGGACATGATAACAGTTTTCAAGTACATAAAAAGTTGTTACAAGGAGGAGGGAGAAAAATTGTTCTTCTTAACCTTTGAGGATAGGACAAGAAGCAATAGGCTTAAATTGCAGCAAGGGCGGTTTAGGTTGGACATTAGGAAAAACTTCCTGTCAGAGTGGTTAACCACTGGAATAAATTGCCTAGGGAGGTTGTGGAATGAATCTCTATCATTGAGGATTTTTAAGAGCAGGTTGGACAAACACCTGTCAGGGATGGTCTAGATAATACTTAGTCCTGCCTTAAGTGCAGGGGACTGGACTAGATGACCTCTTGAAGTCCCTTCCAGTTCTATGATTCTCTGCCTGATGTGTTTGCTTGAAATACATCTTGCAGTTCATCCCTGTGAGTACATTAGGTTGTGAAGCACATCCGTAAATTTGTTGTAAAGTAATTGTGACTTCCATGCAAGAGCAAGGAAGATAAACACTGCTGAAATAATACTACCTAGCTCATATATACCGCTTTTCATCAGCAGATCTCAAATCATGTATTCACTAAAATATGTGATTTCTTTGCAGTGCAGAGAAGGAATGGGGCGATGGTATTCGGGGTCTGTCACTCAGTGCTGCCAGATATGCCTTGCTAAGACTGGAAGAAGGTCCTCCCCACACCAAGAACTGGAGGTAGGCATTTTGGATGTGCAAAATGCAGATTTTGCTGAGCTTCAGGTTGCATGTGCAGGGTTCAAAACAATGCCCACAATTTACATGTAAGTAATCTAGCTTGACACTGGACAGGAGCTTTGCTATCTTAAAATACAAAAGAAGTTTAAGAACTCAGTCTTTTAATGGGAATCAAAGCACATGAGTAAGTCCCGCACACTTAGTGTGAAATGCATGCAGCCCATGTAAGATATTCCATGCTACATTAACTACACTGGGGGTGCCCGGCAGAGACAGAGCAGCAGCCTGTCTTGTCTGGGATGTGGATGGTGTCTCGATTCAGGCCCAGTGTAGGCTAGTTCAGAAAGTGGAGTTGGGGAATGACACACAAGATGTGCGATTCCAGGGATGCAGTGGCCTAATAACCTGCAGTAGTGGCACAGAGGTTGCTGATGTGGCTCCATCTTTAAAACTGGAATAGTGGCCAAGGATTTCTCCCTCTAGCCTCTGCACTTCTGCTGCATGAAGCCAGGTTACATGAGCAACATGCATTTTGCTCTGAGAGAGCTGAGTTCTACGTGCAGCTGCTGGAAAATAGTAATGCTTAGGGGGCTGAGAAATCCTCATTAACTGAAAGGTAAGCTTGTACTGTTCCATGACTTTCACCTCTGAAGTGCATAGCTCAATCTAGCTTCTGTTATGTTGCTAACTAGCACTGCTGTATAGGGATATTGAGCACTCCTCCAGCTACTGAGAGGAGTAGAAGTCTACCTTAAATAATACAAACAAAATCCTATACATCATGGTATTCCGTTACTCATAGCTGAATGTTGGGAAAGAAAATCCAAATGTTGATGGGTTTCAGAGTAGCAGCCGTGTTAGTCTGTATTCGCAAAAAGAAAAGGAGTACTTGTGGCACCTTAGAGACTAACCAATTTATTTGAGCATAAGCTTTCGTGAGCTACAACTCACTTCATCTTTATGCATCAGATGAAGCGATCTGTAGCTCACGAAAGCTTATGCTCAAATAAATTGGTTAGTCTCTAAGGTGCCACAAGTACTCCTTTTCTTTTTGCAAATATTGATGATGTCAGACTGAAGTTGCATGTATCTCACATGTCAGAAGAAAGTAAAATTCATTTGTCTATTTGGAATGTAATCTTAATCCCACGTGTTTGGTACATAATATCCATATAGACCTAGAAGGTAGCGTTATTGCATAAATGGAGTATGCAATATATTTTGTGTTGGGCAGATTCTTGAAAATCAGTTTCTGTAAGTAAAATGCTAATGCAGACCACTCAGACTAGTAAAATCCTTTCTTCAAAACCACATGGAAGAAGACTCTCCAGACAGTATTCCAAACTTGCTTTGTCTAAAGAAATAAAATATCAAGTAGTGCACTTCTGGGCATATGGTACAGAGACAGTACTTCACTGTTGGGGTATCAGTGTTAATGATAAAGCATAATTAAGATAATTAGTGAGGCAAACATTTTTTAAAAAGTTTTATAAGAATAACCCAGACTGCTTTTTCTTTTCCTCTAGGCCTCAATTGCTGGTGCTTCTGAAATTAGATGAAGATTTGCACGTGAAGTATCCGAGGCTGTTAACATTTGCTTCTCAGCTGAAAGCTGGCAAAGGTTTGACTATCATAGGGACAGTGATCCAAGGGAATTTCCTGGAGAGTTATGGAGAGGCCCAAGCTGCTGAACAGGTGCGTGCTTTAAATATTGACATATAATAATGATTTTACACAATTGTAGTGAATTTTTATTAAATTTTGTGGAAAATAAAGCAGGCCCCAGTAAAACAAAGCTCTTAAACACAAGCATACTGTATGCCTGTTGCCCAAAGTGCTTAAAGACATGCCTAAGTGCAGTCATGGTTGCTGCATTATGTTCTAGATCTTATGTGTATACATCTCTAACTCATTTAACAGGACACATTGTCACCAAACTGAGAGAACTAATGTTTCATGATGTTGACTGATTCACGTAAAGGATGATGTGTTCTGTAATTTTCTGAACATCACAGTAGCTATTCTGAACCCATCACATTTGCTGTATTTTGCTTCTTCGATGTAGTGGTAGAAGACTTATAAAGTCCTTTTCACCCTTCCTAATGCTTAATCATTTACATCTGCATAGTCACAGCATACCGTGACATTCCCAGCACCCCTGCCCCCCCAGCAGCTCTTGAAGAGGTGGGAGACAGTACTTTAAAAATGGAAAGCTAATTCATATATCTCTGGGATAACATCTTTGCTAAGGATGAAATTATTGTTCTCTTTATATCTTGCAGCCTTGTTATAACGGCTTATAGCATATGAAGCCTTCTACTACATATGATTCTCCTGTCGTTCATTACTCAAAATAGGGCAGTAAACTTTTGCCCCTGATGAGTATATGTAGATTACAGTATGAACATGCATAAGAAGTATAATCAGTTGATATAGAGGACCTGAGTTCATTTTAATGGAGAACTTCTTTCCCTTGCCTATCTTCCAGACTATTAAGAACATGATTGAAATTGAGAAAGTGAAAGGATTTTGTCAAGTAGTTGTAGCCACCAAGGTTCGAGAAGGAATTGCCCACTTGATACAGTCCTGTGGACTAGGTGGCATGAAACACAACACTGTGGTTTTGGGATGGCCGTATGGCTGGAGACAAAGTGAAGATGCAAGAGCCTGGAAAACATTTATAGGTTAGTTGTGATATGTCATGTGGTTAGACACCCAGAATCAAGTTCTGTGTACTACTCTACACACACTATATTTTTGATTGAACAGATTTATTCTGCAAGTTCAGCATCACTTTCCCACTATTTGCATGAATATTAACAAAAAAAGTAAAATGTAAAATAATGGCACTCATTGACAGGTATATGTGTCTATAGGCCATTTCAAATGGTTTTTAATAAACACTATAATTTTTTCAATTAAAAAGCCTTTACAGTTGCACAGTTACACAAAAGGAGTAAATACATATATTTAATGTGAGCGGCGATTTTATAGGTAAGTGGCACTTGCTCACTGAATAGCCTTTTCCACTATCATTTTCTCTTACAGTACCATAGAAAAGTGACTGTTTGCTTTCTTCCCCTTCCCCGCAGACACTGTGCGTTGTACAACTGCTGCCCATCTGGCTCTGTTGGTGCCCAAAAACGTGTCTTTCTATCCCAGCAACCATGAGCGTTACAACGAAGGCAACATTGATGTGTGGTGGATTGTGCATGATGGAGGCATGTTGATGTTGCTTCCTTTTCTACTGAAACAGCATAAAGTAAGGATGAAAAGAGCTAGAGAACAAATTTGTCTGCCGACTGCTTTGTATGCATCAGTGTATGGTGTGGAACAGTGAGCTAAGAATAAGTGAAGATCCTCATACTGTTCTCCCAATAAGTTTTTTCTTGTATTATATATTTATAAAAAATGGTTTTTGACCCACATGTACATTCTGCTCATGTACAATGCATTCTTGTATTAGCAGAATGTATATTTCCTACGTGATCATAGCAGGAATGGTCATACAAACACACAAATCTTTACCTTTAAAAAAAATGAAAGGTACTACATTGAAAAGGCAGAGTTCCTGGAGCTGTGTTTGAGACTTGCTCAGTCTTCTGTTGATAGCTATGTAAATTTAATAAGATGTGTATCATAAAGGACTCAGCAGACTGCTTATGGATACCATGTTCACAAGGGCTATAGGACCTAACGAGTGTCTTAATTTTAGACACTAGATGTATTTCATTGCAATATAATTGGATTATATGCATGCAAAAGAGGAACACTGTCAAGTTATGAAGCAAGTGTTAATTCGGAAGATGGTGTACTATTTAAGCAAAGAAAGAATTCATTTGTATTAAGTGGGTGTAGTACCAGAAATTAAACTGAATTTAACAAAGTCAATATGATCATGAAGATGAGGGACCACAATAGTGTTGGTAGTACAGCTGGTTGAGAAATGACCCCAGATTATGAAAACCATAGTCTTCTTCATCAAATTTGATTATTTTGAGAAATTTTGAGCACTCAGAGTGTGGTGGTTATTTCTTAAAGACAAAGAGGAGGAACCTAGGTCTCCTTAAGTGAAAGGAGTCCACTAACCTCTCTGTCATGAGGAGAGACGGTTAAAATAAGGAGATTGAAAAGGTCTTTAAATAGTACAGTATCTTTTAAAAATAAGACAGTATTTATGCGCATTGTGTCCAAAATGTTGTGATTTTAAAATACACTGACCTTGGGTTTTTTGGTGACTTTTTCCCAGTTTGTCCTCTGCAGGTAACTTGCTGGCCCCTACATCATGGATTTAGGCTGGATGGAAAGATAGTAAGCCTGCTGGAGCCACTTCAGCTTTGGCCAGTGGGGTCACTTGATGTGGCCAGGACACTTATCAGCCAATGTAATGGCTATGATTGGTTTTGTCATGACAAGAATACAAGAAAAAAATTAATCTCACAACCCTTGGCATACAATATATCAGTGTTAAGTTTAGTTTCTTTTAAAGTTTAAAAGAATATAAAGATCATAAAACACCCCAGAAGAATGAAATATTTCAAGATTTTGTGGCAGTCTCACCAGCAGCAGACCAGAGTGAATGAATAATGTTTTATTGAGGTAGCCCCTCCCCCCCTCAAAAAAACAAACAAAAAAACAGGTCATGGGTTTTGTCAAGGGAAACATAGCAGTGAAAAACGTCAAGACTCACTAGTGAGAAACCTAACTGGGATTTTTCTTATGTTGTAGTTCATAGGACCATTGGGCTGGCCTCATATGGCTTTTCTTTGTTGTCTTTAAGCCAAAAGAGAGGCTGGATACAAATTTAGGGCCTGCCTTGCATTAATGGCTCATTAACCCTGTTTGTTAAAGTCATGCTTGATAATCATCTCAGTTTGTCAACACAATGCATCAGCAGTGCTCCTAAACTATGCTTGATTGCTCTGATGGGAAAGTCAATAGTATGGATGTGTTTAAAAAAAAAATCCACAGAGCCCAGGACAGTAACTCTGCTGAAAAACAAGGATGCTATATTTATTACAGTTCTGTTTTGTGTAGAAAAGAAGTTGCTGGTTCACATGTTTTGAGAACTTGTATTTTCCCCCATAGGTCTGGAGAAAGTGTAAAATGAGAATTTTCACAGTAGCTCAGATGGATGACAACAGCATTCAGATGAAGAAGGACCTGGCTACTTTCCTTTATCACCTACGAATAGAGGCAGAGGTGGAAGTTGTAGAAATGGTAAGGGATTGATCCTATTTCTCCTTAAGGTTTGAATGCTAGTAAGTTATTTGATTACAAAGAAGAATATTTTTCTTATTTCTGCAGCAAAACAGTGATATTTCAGCTTATACCTATGAGCGGACCCTAATGATGGAGCAGAGATCTCAGATGCTGAGGCAAATGAGACTGACCAAAACAGAAAGGGAAAGGGAGGTATGTCATTCACTATAGAAAAAGCTAAGGTGGATGAATCCAAGCACTGTTCCTAGCACCATTTCATATCCTTCATATAGCATAGTAAAACTTCCATGAATTAATACAGACATCTCCCACATCTTGAAGAAAACGAACATTCAGTGTAGCCTTTTCAGTTGCTATGTCTGAAAACTAGGTTTATTCCTATTGGTTAACATCTTGCCATGGAGCCATGCTAGAAATGCTTTGTCCTAGGAAAGAATGCATGGCGGTCACGTAAGCTGTAAAAAGCCTTTTGTGCATTTCCCTGTATGATTATGTGGTGTCCAGTTAGTTCAGAATGTAAGTCTCAGGAGGTTTCTTGAAAGACTCAAGAGTTTCCGGTACATGCGATATCCTGGGTTTGTCCCATTTCATGACACGTCCTGTTTTGCTAGTGTGGGTTTATGTCATGTCTTGGATTCTGGTAGAACAAGGCAACTAGTTCACTTGGCCACCAAAGCTGTTCAATTTGTATCATCCTGTTCCATCTGAGCAGAACAGTTTTCATCAGCTTGGGGTCAGTCTGGGCTGCCAGGTTCCATACTACCTTACGATGTCAAGTTCTCTCTTTCTCTGTATAGAGACACCCCAACTGGTCCAAATTTTGGTTGACTCATATTCACCATAACCCTCTTTGCTCTTTGTGTTAGTGTACTGCTCTGGCTCCTCTCCTGAACACAGGTGAAGAGTACAATGAAATGAGAGCTATTTAATTGGTGAAAGGGATCCAGAAAAGATAAAATTAACCTGTGAAAGTAGAACTCAGCTTGCCATTTAAACACTTCTCAGGCCCAGCTGGTAAAGGACAGACACTCTATAATACGGCTGGAAAGCCTGTACTCGGATGAAGAAGATGAGGGGGAGACAGTACCTGATAAAATTCAGATGACATGGACAAAAGAGAAATGTGACTCTGAAAAACGGAACCGGAACACTGCAGTGGAAAACTTCAGAGAACTGATCAGTATTAAACCGTGAGTCTCATTGGGGCCGATATCTCAGACCACTTTGGGTTAAAGTCCGGTTGTGCTGCTGTCCACTGTATGCCATCCCTAATGACAAAACAACTTGACTTCCTTTTAAAACAAAAATGATTTAGTACTGCTCAGGTCTCTCTTGCATTTAAACATTAGAGGCTTTAATAGTGGAAAGTCAGCAGAGTTAGTCACCCTAAGATTAAAGGTGGGATGTGGCTATGAATACTAAAAAGTATCCCCAAAGTTTTAGAATTGGCCCTTAAGTTGTGGCTTCATATAAGACGGAAGAATTGTCTGTAATCCCTTCTGTAATATGTGTGTATCTGAACCATCCAGAACTAGTTTATTGGCAGATGATCATATCACTTACTGCTAAGTAACTCAGTGAGAATTCCTGAGTGTTTGAAATTCCTATTCATTGGTATAGGTAATTCTAGTATATTTTACTATTAAAAAGCCATAGAAATTCTGTGTTTGTGTTTAAATTTAAACTGATGTACTCTTACCTCCCTTTCATGCTTTCAGAGAGTGGGAAAACCTGTAAGTTTTTTTGCTAATTGTTTAAAAATGCTTTTCTGTGGATGGGAATGAGAAGATCAAGAATTCTCCCTAGATGAAAAGGAATGACATTATTAGCCTACATGTGATGCTGTACAATGGGCCTGATCCTGCATGCTTGAAGTTGAGGGGAAACTTGCCATTGTCTTTAAAGGGTGCAAGATTGGGTCCTTAATTCTTAAGGCGATAGGTATCTTAGAAATAGCATAAAGCAAAGTCTGCAAGAGTTACTCTGTCTAACCAGGACTGACTCAGGGAAAAACAACTTCAGGTTTGAGCATTTAATTGTGTTTTCAAGAATGGCATACCGCTGTGTGGGTGATCAAAGGGTGTGTGTTATTGTTGGGGCACAATATCAGATGGTGGGAAATCCAAAGTTCAGCCTGTCGTACAGGACAGAAATTCAGGACAGTGCTGACTTGAACTTCTCTAGCTCTTTGTAGTTTTCTCACAAGCTTAAATATGATATGCAAAAGACACGGTCAAAGTGCTTTTACCATCGTTTGAATGTTTTTACTCTCCATTGTTTGCAATAGCTTGCATAGCAGCTTGAAATGAGATTCTTTTCAAGTCCAGTTCTGTCTACACGTGCCCCCAATCCTGTCCCCAAAGGAACATCAGGTCCACCAGGGCTTCCTGCACAACAGGGCACAAATGGGGATTGTAGCAGGCTGTGCTGGTCTGGAAGAACTGCAGCTCATTGGATCCTCCAGTCCTTTATACCCCAACTGCTGAGAGGACATGAAGGTCATAGGCTGCAGCAGCAGGCTCTGGGCTGGCTCAGTAACTTGTGGGAGTGGTGCGATTCCTCTTTCTTGCCTTTCCCCTCCCAACCTCTCACAGATTGTTAGTGCCCAGCTGGGGAGAGTAGTTGTCCCTAAGGGTACATCAACACAGGAGTAAAAGCCCTGCGGCATGGCTGTGACTGGACTGGGTCAGCTGACTTGGGCTTGCAGGGGTTGGGCTGCGGGGCTAAAAATTGCTCTATAGATGTTCGGGCTTGGGCTGGAGCCCAAGCTCTGGGTCCCTCCACACTTGCAGGGTCCCAGAACTAGGGCTCCAGCCCCAGCCCAAATGTCTACACATCAGTTAGAGGGAAAGGTGTCAACACAATCAGAAGCTGTACATCCTCAGACCAAACTCTCATTGGCTGCTCATATAACAGAGGAATCACACTGTTCATCGTCTCTCCTGGAGGCTGGGTGAACCATTCCTTATATGCCTACACCACAGTTAATGGCATTTTCTCAGCTCTCTGGATAGATGCCAGTTTTAAGGGTCACCTTGAAATTTTATTTTTGTCTCTTTGGATCTCTTCCAAAAGTTGATTACAAAAATAACAATTCCTTTGTCATCTCCCATTGTTGTAGTACAATGATGTCCTGCCTCCCTTGTCGGTGACCTTTCTGTTTCTGACATGGAAGAGGCAGAGGCTGTGCTCACTTTTTCAATAAAACCTGCGCCCATAGCATGACATCACAAGGAAAGTATTCCAAACGGGGCAAGTTGAACCCTGTTGTAAATCTTGCCCCTAAATAGTTCTGTGCAGCAGCACTGTCTCTTGGTAAGGTGGTGTAAATGAGTCATCTCAGTGTATCTGCCACTTCCTGAATGTTTTGGGAAGTTTATTCCTTTACGAAATGTCAATGAACATGCAGCCCCATAAATCATCACAAGACAAAAGCTAAAATTAAACTGACTTCAAAAACAAAAAAGCCTCCAGAAAAGAAATGAGTTCAGTAAGGCCTGTTACCATAATTTGTAGCATGTAAAATGGGTTCTTATCTAATCCCTTTCCCTAAAATATCTGGTTTTGACTGAAAAGCATCAATAGTAATAAAGAAATCATTATCCAAGTTGCAAAGGATAATTGATTTTTCCTTTAGGTCTGCATCTGTCTGTCTGTCTTTTGTTTTGTTCTCCCTTTTTAGCCCTTATTAACCACAGTAGTAGTTAATTTCCTATTGGAAGGAGACATCTTCTGCCTAAAAATGACTCCCTGACTCTCCAGTTCTTATTCAGCATGGATTGGTCTGATGTGATCATATTTTCAGTGTAATAAAGCCTGGACGCTTTTTGTGAGGATATGAGTGTTTTGCAGCTCAAAAAACACAGGTGCACTTCTTAGAAATGTGGGCTGGTGTTGCTGTCACCCTATTCTGGAGTTATCTGTGAGACATGGAATTCTCAGAGTTGAGGATTTTTTCTGTACTTTAGTGTGTTGAGTGGGGGATTTTTGGTCAGCGTGACCTGGGCTATTGTTTTGCAATGTGCCCTGAGAAAGAGGCCGCATGTAGTTATGCTACCCAAGGACCAGAAGTAAACTCTGCCAGGCTTACACTCAGCACAATGTACCACACCTGCCCTGCTGGCTTTGCTGATTGGCCCATTGGCAGGAGCAGAGACATCTGTGCAAGGGAGCAGTAATGGCTCTGTAGAGCCTGCTTTCCTTTCTGCACTGAAACTCAAGTCATGGGTGGCCCATGCAAGAGAGGAAGGGGGCGGTGCCTTATTCCCCTTGGGCGGATGCATAGGGCTAGTGATTTATCCCTTGCTGTAGGAGCATAAGGCCCTGCTTGAAAGCCCTGCTGGTTTGGTGGAATGCTCCTTAGGTTGTTACAAGTCGTTGACTGTGACACTCACTTCAAGAATTCCAGCTCAACTCTAATCTGAGGTCACAGTGGATGACCGTGGTATTTTCCACTTTTAATAGTCAATAACCATCCACTCCAGCCCATGTCTTACTCAGTTTGGGCCTGATCCCAAGCCCCTTGAAGTCAATGAGACTCTTACCATTGTCATCAATGAGTAAGTAGATGAGGCCCTCAGTGCAATAGAGTTTATATTTGTATTGGTGATCTTAAGGTGAATTTCTTATCTCATGCAATCTGGCAATAGCTGCTTAGGAGAGACCAAGGACAGCAGTGGAATGGGAAATAAGTTAAATGATGCCTTCAGAACACAGATCACAAAAACTAGTGGAATAGTATTAACTCTAAACATGTAGAGGTACAAATAACTCTGTACCTTTAAAATAAAATCTGGAAAAAATGTGCATGTTTGATTAGGTGACATTTTAAATAGCATTTCGTAGATATGATCATTATAAGGTATTTTTCTAGTGATTTTTTTTCCAGTTCAGTTTTACAGTTTTTTTCTAATAGTAAACATGTGATTCTTCAACAGGAACCAGTCAAATGTCAGAAGAATGCACACAGCAGTGAAGTTAAATGAAGTAATTGTAAATAGATCTCATGATGCCAGACTTGTTCTTCTCAACATGCCTGGCCCTCCAAAGAACGTAGATGGTGATGAAAACTGTATCCTTTGAAGGAAAACCAAGGCGATACTCAAAATATGCATCTCTCTATCTAACCAGGTTCTTATACTTTGCCTATTAAAGATATTTATTTAAACCGAAATAAGTGTAACTTAGTGTTCCATTTGTGTATGAAAGTAGTAAATCATGGTTGTTGAGATACAGTAAATACTTTTAAGGGAAAGTCACGTCTGCTCTTGCCACTCTCCTGTTTTGTACCCAGGATGCTTTGCTAACGTCACCTGTCATAGGACCTGACCTGTCTTGTCTACACTCCTTTATTAGTTTCATTTTCTCTGATGGGCTTGCCTTCATAAGCTTTGTCAACGGTAAGGAAATTCAGTAGCAGGAGTTTTGCCTCCTGCAGAATAAGGCTAAACAATCTGACATTACTTCACATGGAAATGATGTTTTGCTCTTTCAAGGAATAGTAGCTACCTTTTTCTTATTGTACGCTGAAGCAGTTACTAAGAATGAATTCCTTTACACAAAAATCAAGAAGGAGAGTGGGGGAAAAGGGTTAACGCTTCCTGAATGGATTCTAAAGAGGCATTTAGTATAATTAAACTAACAAATGATCTACTTCTGACATGGTAACTTCAAATCTATCATCTGTTTGGCCCTAGGTTTGTAATTTCATAACAACTGAAATCTAGCCAGTCTGACATTTACAACTGTGAATCTGTAGGGGTGAGTAAAAGTATGTCTTCACTAGCAACGTTAAAGCGTTGCTTTAACGTGTCTGTGTAGTTGAGGCACCAGCATTGGGAGAGAGCTCTATAAAAACCCCACCCCCACCAGGGGAGTAGCTACCGGCAGTAGGAGCGCAGCTCCCAGCACTGGTGCACTGTCTACACTACCACTTTACAGTGCTGAAACTTGCAGTGCTCAGGGGGTGTTTTTTCACACCCCTGAGTGAGAAAGTTGCAGTGCTGTAAAGTGGCAGTGAAGACAAGGCGTAAGATGCACTTCCAGGGAGGTTCACATTTTCAGAGAGGTTGAGAGCGTGTTCCTAGGAGCCAGTATGGACATCCTCCCCAGGAAGTGGCTTGGGTAATATATGACGTTTTGTGGCTTCAGGTATGTTGCTAAAGCAGGGAAAATGTTGAGTTTTTGTGAGACACTAAAATAGCTTCCTATTGCTCACAGCTTAAGGAATAGATGCAGCTTGGGAGAAATTTCTCGGTAGTATACTGTCCATGAATCAGCTGTCCCTCTGCTTTCCCTAGCTCCCCCTACAGTTTGGCTTAGATTAAAATCTCATGGTGGACAACTGTCCACTCCTGCCCTGTTATAGACCCAGCTTGCACTCTGAAGGGAGCAGTGTTTGAAAAACATTTAGGATGTGGATGAAACATGACTCAAAATATGGCTGAGGCATCCCATACATCTTGTGCTTGATGCTATATTGGTCCACAAAGACAACGCAGATCTGTCAGATTCAGTCAAATTGCAATAAATTAATTTACTGCTAAAATGTAATTTGGCCTTTCATTTGGTTTCAAAGCATAAACGTTTACAAAGTATATTGAGCCATGAATATGGAATGTTTATATCAATCTAAGAAACTTAAACTCTACAACTCTACTAGTTCTTTAAAAAGTTTGCCCATACTATTTAGAAGAACTCAATCTCCCAAGGTTGCAGCTGACATACAAATAAATTTATTTTTAAGAAATCTAGGAGGATTGTTTGAAGAAATTGCTCAAGATTTTTAGTTGCACTCAATGTATTAGGCTTATTGCTATTGTATTACTGTTCAGTAAAAAGGACGCTAGTGACTCAGTGTCTGCATTTAAGTTATAAAATACCTTTTGTCCTTGACTTCACTGATACAGATATGGAATTCCTGGAGGTTTTGACAGAGGGCTTGGAGAGAGTATTACTTGTTAGAGGAGGTGGTCGTGAAGTCATCACCATTTACTCTTGATTTAATATGGCTTTCTGCCCCATCGCACATTTACCTTCTTGATGACAAAGGACATTCCAGTTGTAAATGGAGAAGAAAATAGGTTCTCTCTCTCCTCCTTCCCTCAAACAAACACAGACTTTCCATCATCCACCCAGTCTCCTGAATGACTACTAGACTTTTCTCACCAACCTTTACACTATGCCGTAGATCTTAGTACTGATTCCATTGGTTTTCTGTCAAGTGACGCTCCAGTTGCTACATACATATCTTTTGTATTGCAGTACTACACCATCCAACTGGCAACACAAGTGAATCATGAATCTACAATATTACTCGGCTTCTGCTTTGATACTCTGGCATTTGTGAATGTAGTTTTAACACTAAACCTATTTTTAGAAAACAGTGCTAACATGCAGTGTTTTTAGAAACTGTGTATAAAGTTAGGGCTCGAAAGTCAGTTACTGTTACAAGATTTTAAAAGCTTTTATATTTGTTTATGGGGATAGGACTACATTATATAGCAGCTAGTTTCTTTTGAAGTTCAGCTATAATGCATTTTCTAAACAAAACATGAAGTTGTAAGAACTGACTGACAAAGCTACAGTTTTGTGGGTTCGTTTCCAGAACTACAGTTCGAGTATTGGATAAGAATTTATACTTTAATACATTTATAGATTTAAATAAATTATGTTGATATAGTTGATTATGTATGTAGATTGCTACAAACAGTGTGTAGCTTCTGAGACTTATGGTTCTGTGGAGGAGGCAGGTCCCTATTTATTTTTATATTTATTTGTTAGAAACATTGGAAACACAGATGCAAATAGTCTAGGAGTTTCACAGAGAGGTTTCTTAAATCAATTTCAAACCATCAGCGGATTGAAGAGAAGTCCTGTGCAGTTCTTCCCCATTTTAAATTCCTCCGGCCCATCATTGTATGATTCTGAGAATCCAGTACATGGAAATAGAGGTGCTGCATTGCACACAGCGATGGATTGCACCTGCACAAGGGCAGGAGCTGCTTTTTTGTAGGCTTGTCTTTTACCAAGCCCATTAAATTATACTTACTGTACAGAAGGATCATATTTTTTCAATAAAATGTTGCATACACTTAATTACTAAACAATGTGGAGTTCTATATGCTGTAATGCAATAGCTAGTATGCACACCCCACTCTCTCTATTGTATGGAATTGGGATTGTTCAACTACAGCTGTATAGACTACTAACTGTTAAAGGAACATAAGAACTGACACCCCAGCCAAAGTCTTGTCTGACATTGCCTGGTATATAATACCCCATAATAGATAACTGTGCGCTAACATATTTATGGGAGGAACAGGAGGGACTTTCTCTTCACCTTAACTGTTAGTGGTTGGCATATACTGAAGCATTAAGGTTGATACACTTGATACATTTTTTAATTCTGTCTAGGATAGCAGTTGATATAATCATATAAATGTTTTGATTTCTAGTAGCAGTGAGTTCCACAGACTGATGATACATTGTATTAAACACTTACTAGTTTCCAAATGTGTGACCCTCTAACTTCTTTCCTTTCCCTCTTCTTCTATTGTAGAAAGATAATGTGCCACTTCACATTATGCAGATATTTCTTTGACTTGGTCATAATGACACCAAGGTGTTTTTACTGGATGGTTACAATTAATGCTGTACAAAAGTATCCTTTAGTGAAATGGCAGGGGCTGTGATTTTTTTTTTTTTAAATTAGGAGATGCTGATCTCTATCCCTGTGTATATTGGGGTTGCCATGGTGTGGAGCACAGTGAGAATTGTGTAACCTGGGGTGGATAGAGATGTCTTACCCAGTGTGGGCACAGAGGTATCCTTATGGAATTATATCAAATATTCTCGTTGTCTGATCTCCTCTTCCTGTTGCAAGCACTCCTGCTCTTTCCACTTCTGTCAGTGTATCCCGGATGTAATCGGTGTGTGTATGCCAGAACTCTGGCAAAACAATCCAGCATGTCAAGTCACTGACGGGTGGGTACTACATTGAACCGCTCTTCACATTTCCATGTTTGTTCTCTCCCCCTTCTCAACCCTCCAAGGAGCAATGTCCACTAAGACAATTCACACCCTAGTCTAAGGAAGTGCTCCCTTTCAGGAAAAGGACACGGGTCCCTCCCAGTGAAATATGTCTGGGGTGGGATGGAGTTTTGAAGAGCACTGGCACAATTAAGGACGCTGGGGCTTGCTCTGTACTGGAGAACTGATTTTTTGCTTAAACGGCTAACTCTACTGGAGCCCAGGCTCTGGCAGCATGAATCATTTTTACTCTTTGTTTTAGAACAAGTTGAAAAGGTAGAGCATGTGAAGTGCACAGTAACGTTTGTAAAGCAATCCTCCCATGAATGATGTTGTGGAAGAGCAAAGCATTCTATAAATTTAAGAAGAAAAGGAGTACTTGTGGCACCTTAGAGACTAACCAATTTATTTATGCTCAAATAAATTGGTTAGTCTCTAAGGTGCCACAAGTACTCCTTTTCTTTTTGCGAATACAGACTAACACGGCTGTTACTCTGAAACCTATAAATTTAAGCTGATCACAATCACTCGTTTGCATGCACTGTAATAGAAGAGTATTATTTTTGTTGGTTTATTCCTTAGAATTTATTGGAACAGCTCTGAGGAATTACCATTTTTTGGTCCCCATCTCAGCACACCGTATTTAAACTTTTCCCAGCTACACCACACTGAAGAATCGGATAACCATGTTTGTTCAGCATGGAAAATCGTGGTCCTGCGGCATTTGGCCTCCACTGTATGAAAGGGTTTTAGTGCCATCTACTGCATGTTCAAGTAAACTGTGGGACTTTATCCTTAACTGCTAAAGTCTGTTGCTTGTGCTCTCGAACACCTCGTGTTAGCCGAGTTAGAATGTATGAAGGAAGCGTGCAATGTGGGTTGTTCCCCCCCCAAAAAAAAAAAAAAAAGACTTCTAAGGAATATACAGAGAGCAAACACAAAATTGGGTCTGGTCATTACTATTTAGTAAATGTTATGGATAATTGAGAACCATTACTATAGGGGGTTCAAAAGTGTTTACTCTATTTTTTTTTAGTCCCGCCTCCCCAAATCTCTCAGCCTCTCCTATTGGATGTAAGGGGGGGGGGCAGAAGTCCAGCGCAAACTCGTGGGAGAGATGGAGTGGAACAGGCAGAACAGGAAAACATTCAAAGCAAAAAGGTATAATCTAGTTGAATCATCTTAGCTGCTGCTTGTTGAGGAACTGAATGGGTATTTCCATTCCCTTCCTAAGCTACCCAGATTTCTCTTTCAAGCAGAAAGCTTACACTTATTCATGTTTCCCCTGTGTGTTGTGTTTTAACTTTAATGTAATGGGTTCACATCAGATCATGTTTACAAGCCCATCAGTAATGGGGGAGATGCACAAAACTTGTTCACACTGGCAATGATCCAGTTTATAACAAGCTGACAAACATTTAGCATAAGTCTGGGGCTAAGACTAAGCTCACAGGTGAAATTTCTTCTTTGGGTAAACTATTGTTTATCAAAAATGTAAATATTATAGGCCGAGATGGCATTTTGAATTGCAAATGGCAATCTTTACTGTCACTTGAAAGAAAAGATACCAATATTTGCACGTCCTCCCCCTGCCTGGGACAACAGAGATGTTAATGCACTACAAGCATCAGAATCTCTGCTGTCACTCGTAGACACCATTTTTTACAAAACTCACAATGGAGCAGTATTTTCCTTGAAGACCACTGTGGGACTCTGCTATTGAAACTTAGCTTTTATAGTGGGAGAGATGCTGCAAAACATGTTGAAGTTTAGACACTCAAATCCACACGAGGGAACTAGAGTGCCAGTCATTTGGGAGTTTTGTTCACTTGAAGAAACAGGCAGTTTTTCAGATTGTTTATAAACCACTGCTGAGGCTCCATTCTTATTGAATTTTTCATGTTATTTACTGTAGGTACCTGGCATGTAATTAATTAGATAAAGAAACAAAACTCCCACTCATTCAGACAAAAATAAATCAAGTTCCCCATTTCCCCATGCATCATCCTAACAATATTTGTTTGTTTAGGAGTGCCTTGTGGTGTGCTCTGAAGGTCGACAGATTAAAATTACTCTGGAGCAATTATACCCTCATCATTTAGCCACTGTTTTATCGGAAGATACTGCCAAGGCTAGATGCTTGGTTAAATTCAGAGCTGTACTTTCAAACCAGGGGAGTGGTTGGTTTTCTGTATTCAACAAGCACAGCACTTGCTGAAGGCATAACAATCTCCAAGACAATCCTCTTGTAAAAACTGGGCACAAACTTACAGCAGGCCTAGGAAGTAGCTAAGAAGATGTCATTCAAAGCTCAGTAACTTTAGAGGAAACAATGCCGGCTGCCTTACTCCAAATACCAGGTGCCCCCCTACAGTGAGTTTTGGTCATGGCAGGCTGCAGCAGTTGTTACAACACAACATGGCAGGTGACAGGCCTGAAGACAATCTCTCCCTATAGCCTCTCACATCGCAGGCTCCAGCCTCTAACACAGGGGTGGGCAAACTTTTCGGCCTGAGGGCCACATCAGGGTTCCAAAACTGTATGGAGGGCCGGGTAGGGAAGGCTGTACCGCTCCAAACCCTATCCACCCTGTCACACTTCCTGCCCCTTGATTGCCCCCCCTCAGAACTCCTGACCCCCCCACTCCTTGTCCCCTGACCGCCCCCTCCTGGGACCCCAGCTCCCTGACTGCCCCGACCCCATCCACACCCCCGCCCCCTGACAGGCCCCCCAGGCCCCCAACCCCTATCCACCCCCCCCCCCAGGCCCTTTTGGAATGCGGTCCTGCAACATGGGCAGAGGACACAGGAGGAGCAGGGGCAGCCGGAGAGAAACGACGGTTTCCCCTTCAAAGTGCCGCTTCTCTCCGGCCGGTTGTGTGGCCGCCCAGTGCTCCTCCTGAGCCCTCTGCCCGCGTTTGCCGCGCTCCCACCACCGGCACCGCCCATCTGCTCCCCTGGGGCTGCAGGCAAGCCTCCCTCCCTGCTCTCCCCTGCCCCCGCCGTGCAGCCCCCTCCCTCGCTGGCGGCGCGGCAAGCTGAGGCTGCGGGGAAGGGTGGACAGAGGGGGCGGGACGGGGACTAGCCTCCTGGCCAGGAGCTCAAGGGCCGGGCAGGACAGTCCCATGGGCCGGATGTGGCCCATGGGCCGTAGTTTGCCCACCTCTGCTCTAACAACTGGAGTATTGTGTTCCATTTGCTCAACACAAAGTGCAAAGAGAGCTGGCCCATTTACTTTTGGGGTTAGGCTGTTCTCTGACATCATCCATTTCGTGCCTCCCTTTTTTTGTAGGACAGATGGAAGTCAAAGTCTGGCACACCCTGGAAGCAATGGGTCAGAGGGTAGCAGCCAAGGGTGGGTCCCACCGTTATCATTAATCTGGCGGTATTGCAACAAATGGTATTGCATAGTCGTATTAGTGCTGCAAGCTGTCCATCCCATTGCCGGTGGAATGATGGCATGTTAACGACTTGGTCAAGTATGTGGCTTAAATATAGTTAGGAGGGCATGTTGAGCAAGTACGCTAGGGAGCCCCTGACATTTTATATGGTAGAGATTCGATTAATTGGAATAGGATGGGCAAACTGATGCTCTGGGAGCTTAGATCAATTCCTTCATGTTGCAGAGTCTAGAGGCTTAGATAAAAATCCAGACTTCATGCAGGAAATCTCACAAAACCATGCCCCCTCATAACATTTCTTGCTTTTCAGCTGGGCCAACTGGGCTTCAGGAATGGGCTCTCTCAGTATCCACCTTTAGGTATTTCTTTTCAGTGTCAGCCACCAGCAGACACTACACCCAGGAGTGTGGAAATGAAAAACTTTAAATAAATAAAGGTTTGAACACCCAAAAGTAGCTTTGCGTGAGGATGTCTTGATGTGTATATTCTCAGCTGGTTTGCCTACTTATAAGTTATTTTTGTATGACTGAGAACAGAAATGGGCCATCATCTGGCAGGACTTCAAAATGCTGTTGGATGACTGCCTTAAGGCAGGCTACAGATCAACTTTTCCCTGAAGGTTTGACAGACAGCATCAGAATATACTGCTAGGTCGCAAGAACTATTGGGCCTGGAAACAGTTATACAAACGTTAATTTAAAGACTTAATGAGAATAATAAGTGACTTAAATGTAGCACTTTGCAAAAATGACACAGCCCTCTTTATGTAACTGAATACGCAGGGTATCTGTCAAATGTCTCCTTATTTGAAACAATTTTCTGAATTTATAACAAATGCATGCTCTGCTTTCAGTTTCATATTTTACTAGTTAAACCCTCAATTTGGTTCTCAGATGGAAAACAGCAGTTACCAGAGCTCAAAAAAAAAGGGGGGGGGGAGAGGGCAGAGAAACATTAAAGAGCTAAATAAAATATGTAACTACACTGCCTCATAATAAGCTGGCAATATTCAAGGCTGAATGTATTTTTCCATGGGTCCCTTTCATCTGCTTTCACCTGAGAATCCACATAAGCATTTCCCATA